ATTCCGAGATTTGACATGAATCTTGGAGATCTCTTCAACGATAGTTCTATCCCTGAGCGGCATGGCACAAGGCGATCAGTACAGTCTTACCCAGGCCGACCGGAATTTTCTGATGTTTCCACCTCCACTTTCAGCTCAGAGCGACCAAATCGGCCTCAGCGAACACCATCCATGGAGTACTATGGAAACTACGAGAGCCCCGTCTCTCCACAGACGCAGCAACAGTACGTTTATGGCAACTCTCCACAGCATAGTGGGTCACCTAGTAGCGTTACAGCCAATCCTAGCCATCATCAGTTCCAACCAACAGAAGAGATGTCATCAACCGGAATTAGCTTGGATTTCCTGGATTTCGACGTAACCGGTGCAGAGGGTCAAGTCCCCCTAGGGTCTGACGAGAATCCCGATTATGATATACAGCCGGTACCCTCGCTAGGACACGGGGCTGGGCATAGTGTTGGAATCGACCTGGGTTTCGGCATGGCAGTCGACTTTCAACACGACTGGAGTGAGAATGCCAACTATGATCTCCTTGAAGGGTACTTCTTTGGGGGTTCAGCAGCCGGCCCATCCGCAGATGCTTAAGGTAGGAGCTATTTGCCTGTGTCCCATTCAAATTCCACAGTTTGTTTATTTCTATTTGGCCCCTGGCCCTTGTCACTGGTCCAAGTTGCACCCACCGCGGAATGGGGCTGATCTTACGGGGCATATCCTCTTTGCTATGTTCTTATCTTTGGTTAGATCCTGGATATATGTGTCTATGTCGTATATAGGTTTGTTTATTCTTTTACTTGCTTTTCTTTTGCTTTTCTTTTTTTCTTTTCTTATTCTGCATGCATTTTTCTGCTTGGATATCCTGTCTGCCAAGGCCCAATGAGCGTGAAGAAATACCAATTAATTTCCGAGTAAATATGGATCTGTTGTGGGGTAGAGATTGAAGACTGCCAGGGCCAGAGACGAGGCCATAGAAAAATATTGGGCAGCAACGAACTACTAGTAGTAGTATTTAATCCCCAAAGAGAGTTTGGCGATTGAGTTGTTGCACGGCGGGACAACCAGCGCTAAACCCCAAACAATTCAATCAAACAAACTATTCGATTCACTTCAACAACTTGACAACTGGACCTCCACTCTCGCTTCCTTCGTTCGCCAGCGCATGTCCATCGCATCCTTGAATAGCCACTATATATGAGCGTTGTCTTTCCAGGCTCGACACTGATTTGAGAATTCCCGAGGAGGAGCCTTCCCAAAGGTGTCCCGAGTCAGTTTGCTTTTGGTGATCTTCAAGATCTATCGACGCTTTGGCCATGCGAACTGACCTATTTTAGTTCCTGCTAGATCAGCTGCACCCTGTCCTGATCTCAGATCCTCCCCCTTGTCGGTGCTTATTATCTGTCTTTCTCGTGTACAATTTGGCCGTCAGTTCCTGCTGACGTTCCACTGCCTTCCCCGCAACGGTCTTGTTTTTCCCGTGTTTTGGGTGCCTCAAATCGGGAAGATCATGTCCGTTTATCGAGAACGATAAGGAAAAAAGTTCGCCGTACTCCACCTCCGCCGCTAAACAAACAATCGATGAGGACATACAACACACAGAGTCCCAAAGTCAGATGCTGGTTTGGAACGACTAATCAGAGGCTTGGTGGTAGACAATTTACGAGCAGTTTCTTCGGTTACTTGGAGGGTTCTGTTCACGAGTTGAGTTTAGTCGAAGAGGGAGAAAGCATTCCGCTTGTCAATTTTGTCTCCCACTTTGTCCGTGTCATTCCCTCGATAGACCGACCCTTCTTTCGCTCTCTACCGCAATAATCGTCCATACGTCGAACCCCCTGTTTCTTTGACCCATCCGAACTCCGCCGTCCCGACGTTGCTTGATGTGTCAGGTCATGTACAAAAAGGTTGAATCTTGGTGCGAACTTCGTGGTCTACCTTCGTTTGACGATACAAATATACGAGTCGCCCGGCAAGCTGGCAATTTTTCAAGATGGTAAAAGTGGACGTCCGGAGGGATTATTATGCGGACTTAGGTCTTACGCCCAGTGCGGACGCTGAAGATATCAAGAAGCAGTTTAGGAAATTAGGTAAGAGGCAGACTGTGGATCGGTTAGTTGGATTGTCATTGATTTGTTAGCTCTTAAATACCATCCAGATCGGAACCCTGGCAAGGAGGTGGAATTTATTTCCAAGTTCCAAGCCATTCAAGCTGCAAATGAGGTCCTCAGCGATCCTCAACAACGGTTGAGGTACGACACGGACCGCTTACGCGCTGGGTACGGAAAGTACTATGGACCACCCAAGTCCAATTCCCCTCGAAAAGCTCCCACTAAAAACTTTCCTTCGTCACCTTCGGCAAAACCCCAAGCTGCGAAGCCATCGTTCTCGTCGCGACCACAGTCATTCCATAGCGGTCCTTCTTCTGGCGCTCAAAGATATGCAAGCTACGCGCGGGCAGCCCCCAAACAACCGTGGGAGAAGATGCATGATGAAGGACAGACACGGGCTGATGCATATCGCGGGTTTCAAGACATGAAGGGAAACCACACGTCTGGTTGGTCCCAGTTTGATCCTCGCACAGGGCGCTCAGGGTACTCAGGTGCCACGCCCCGAACCAATGCCTCTTCTGCGAGTCAATCGACAAGGCCGAAATCCGCGTACGAATATTTCAAGACATCTCCCAAGCCGGCTGGTTCAGAGTCCACCCGCGCGCATTCTACAAAAAAGAAGCAAGGCTTTGCCCCGCGGTCTGCTGGCGGGGACGAACCTATGGCTCCGAACACTTCTTCTTATTCGAATGTTCCTCGAAATGAACGGCCCCAGATGAGAGATTTCTTTGGTCCTGCCCCCTCCCCAACAGCTAGGAAGGCTGCCGCAGGCTTCCAGAACCGTGAGGAGAATACAAGTACCCCGGAAGTTGAGCGAACAGGTAGCAAGTACGCCGGCACTGGAGGAGAAAGAACATTTTTCTCGAGTGCTTGGCTCGGCCGTTCTGCAAGTATGCGTGAATCGCCCGGAAGTCCTAAGCCTCATGCACGAACAAACCCACCCAGCCCGACTCCCCGAGAACCTGGCAGGCATCGAAGCGCAAGTCCCAAATTTAAGACGGATCATAATCGGAACTACTCCTCCACAAGCTCAAGTGACATTGACGACGAGGATGTCAATCCGGAGCATAAGCCGAAGGCGGTCCCCAAGAGTAGGCTTCGACCTCACCAGAGATTTGCTAACTTTCATACTCAGCAAAAGTTTGACTCCAACACTGGTGAGCATTTCTTAGCCCATGAAGACGGATTCGTATTTCAGCATATAGGAGGGTCTAATATCCAGCTACTAACGCAACGAATAAATAGGGCATGATTCTGACAGCGCGGCTTCGGCTCAAAACAAGTTTGGGGCTTCTAGAACCGAAGATCCATTCGTACCGTAAGGCTATTCATTGTTACCGGATTGGTGATTTACGAGGTATGAAGCTAACTTTGGTCCCTCATCTGTGCAGATCACAATCTCCTAGATCTCGAAACGTTCCGCTAAATGGGACTTTCAACAGTAAGAGCCATGACGATCTGCGGAAGCCATTTTCAGCAACTAGTTGGAACACGTTTGACTTCTTTACTCCATCATCGTCGGACAAAGAACAGCCCCAACCAAAGCAAGGTTCATCTAGTCGCGGGCGTACCGCTACTAGGAACAGCCCCGGTCGAACAAGCCACTCTACGAGTACATCTAATCATGATCCTTCCCGATCTGGCTCAACGTTTCAGCAACAGCCTACAGCATTTGCTGAGGGCAAGTTTTCCGCGGATGATTGGGCGGATAAGTTCAAGGATCTACTATGGGCCATGCCGAAGGACAACGGACACCAGCAACAACAACAACAACAGCCCGGGAATGCCCAGCGTGCACGGAGTCCTCGCAAACATACTCGGTCTGCTACAAAAACGCGAGTCGCACCGCCAGCTGCTAGTGTTGCGACTGAGGCCGAGGAAGTAAAGGCAACACTCGATGGAGATCATGATAAGCAAGGTTCGGCTCGAGCAGGAGAGGAAGATGGAGAAGCCATGGATCTAGATGATGACTCCCCTGCGAAAGATACGACTGTGGAATCGGATAAAGCAGCCAAAAACAAAGAGACGCCTCCGTCAAAGCCAACGCCGCCTCCAAGTGGTAAAGTAGGAAAAGGAGAGGAAACGAAGCCTACAAGTCAACACTTTGACCTTAAGAATCTGGGCAAGACAGCTCCGTTCACAAGCACTACAGATGGTGGCATCGAAGATCTACAAGACATTCATTCCAGCCTGCCATTCGAATCCCGTGCCAAACCCCAAAGGACAACGGTGCGCGATATACGCCCCCGGGAGCTTATTTGCCCAAACCCACCCAAACGGCCGCAACCGCCACAACAGGTGCCAATCAGCGCTGGCTCCCAACAGCTGGGACTGCCTCGGAAAGCATGGGACCGATACGTGGCAGAGATGAATACTTACATGCGCGAATGGAATCACTTTAACCGACGCATGCTCCATCATTTCAATGCACGCCAGGAGGCCATTGAGACTGGGATGGCAGCGAACTGGATCAGTGCCGTTGGTGACTCGACGCGCTTAAAGATCAACGGCCAGGATGAGGACCCTGATGACAAAGGGGGCGAAGGTAACGATAGCGACGACGAGATAGTGCCGGGCGGCAAGGGCGGCTACAGCGCGTATCTACGCGGATTAGATGAAGACGCTGAAGTACTGAAGCACTGGGAAGTCGCACGGGAGATGCATCGGGAGTGCATACTGAAACTGGGGCAGACGCGGGAGTGGATTTTGAATGGAGGGAAAGTCATCTGAAGCATACAAGGCTGGAGTTCGATCTAATTTCTGGGTTTCTTGGTTCTTCTCTTTTGCATAGGATGGGAGTTGGTGCATTGGGATTGTTCCAATTTATGTGACATTAGAGGGGATGAGACATTCGTATTATTGTATTATATATGCATTGTAGGTCCGGCACATTGTGGGCATGTGAGAAGCAGCTCATTTCACGGAAGCGTATACTGTATCCAAGTCCAAGTTGACATACAGATCATCGCTATCTATCAAAGTCGTAATGAATTGAGGTAACTTCGTGACTGTAAAGACCCTAAATCCCGAGCCCTAGGCCGATTGCGGCCCGGGAGCCCCTCCCCTTGCTAACCTAAGGCCGCCACCTGCCGAAGAGGGACCCCACGACCCCGCCATGAGAGGAATTCTGACGGGACGAAACGGTAAGAAATGGTGAGGCCAAGGCCAGCCAAGGGGAGCAACAGGGAAAAATTCGTCGTCGATGACCGAACGGTACGGTACGCGGCAGCTGAGTCACATGGAATAGCGCCCTCCATCACCATATATTATCTTTGCCTCCGCTGTTCCCCTCCCTTTCTTTTTTCGGCTTTTTGGTCTTTGACGGTCGCGAAGTTTTCGCCGCTGCTCCATTTACTTCTGGTACAGGTTAGATCCTTCTACCTACCAGGTAATAAACCAATTGCATTCGCCTTTACTGCCCGGTCTGTTTTTATTTGACTACGTCGATTAAACAACCGGTTTATCGGAATCCTGTCAGTCTCCATACGGTGGACCCCGCCGTCTCTCTCCAATACACCACATATGATGAACCACACGTCTGTGATTACCAATTGAGGGCTGGTACTAATGCGGTTCAGCAGTCTTTTTTAGATATCCGATCTTTGCATATTTGCGCAGCCATCATGCGTGTTTCAATCGTTCTGGGTAGCCAGTGGGGTGATGAAGGTGGGGAATCTGCTCTCTCCGGTTTGATTCGGGGATTTCGAGGCATTGACACATACTGATTGCATTCGGATGGTATAGGAAAGGGAAAGATTACGGATATGCTCGCGCAGCAGGCTACGCTGTGCTGTCGTGCCGCTGGCGGTCACAGTAAGTCGGCCTCTTGTGAGAACACGCATGGTTCCCTTAATATTGACTCTTCGTTCTAGATGCGGGCCATACCATTGTCATTGGCGACAAGACCTATGATTTTCACATCCTTCCCTCTGGCTTGATCTCCCCTTCGTGTATCAACCTTATCGGTGCTGGTACCGTCGTCCACGTTCCCAGCTTCTTCAAGGAGTTGGCCTCTCTTGAGGAGAAGGGTCTCGAGGGTGCTAGCAAGCGCATTTTCATCTCCGACCGCGCTCATGTCTGCCTTCAGTTGCACTCCGTTGTAGATGGTTTGGAGGAGGCCAAGCTGGGTGGTCGCAAGGTTGGCACCACTGGCAAGGGTATTGGTCCTTGCTACAGTGATAAGGCTTCTCGCAGGGGTATCCGTGTGGGAGAAATCTTGGATGAGGCGGTTTTCGAACGCAAGTTGCTTTCTCTGGAGGCCGGATATCGCGCCCGATTCGGCGATCTGGAATACGACGTCAAGGAGGAGCTCGCGCAATTCAAGGTAAGATACCGCTGGCTTTCCTCTTTCTCCTTTAGGCGTGTGTGGTAGATGTTGTATTAACGAACCCAGGAATACCGCAAACTCTTGGGGCCCTACATTGTCGACCAGTTGGCCTTCCTTCAACAATACAAGGACTCTCCGAACACCCTGGTCGAGGGTGCTAACGCCCTTATGCTCGACTTGGACCACGGCACCTACCCCTATGTTACTTCCTCGTCCACCGGCCTGGGTGGTGCCATGCAAGCGCTGTCTCTGAACCCCACTAGCATCAAATCCGTTATCGGTGTTGTGAAAGCCTACACGACCCGTGTCGGTTCTGGGCCTTTCCCTAGCGAACAGCTCAATGAAGATGGTGACAAGCTGCAGAGTGTCGGCAGGGAGTTCGGTGTCACTACCGGTCGTCGTCGTCGCTGCGGTTGGCTTGACTTGGTCGTCTGCCGCTACTCGCAGGCGATCAACCACTACACTGCTTTGAACCTGACCAAGCTGGACGTTCTGGACGACTTCGACGAGATCAAGGTCGGCGTTGCCTACATCCTGCCCGACGGCACCCGCACCGAGAACACCATTCCTGCCGACGCCGAGGTCCTTGAGAAGGTGAAGGTTGAATACGTTACTCTCCCCGGCTGGAAGAGCAACACTATGGGCGTCAAGAAGTACGAGGATCTTCCTGCCAATGCGCGCGCGTACATCGAGTACATCGAGCGCGAACTGGGTGGCGTTCCTGTGAAATGGATCGGCACCGGCCCCGCTCGCGATCATATGATTGCCCGCGAGTAGAGCAACTGGAATTTTGACTACATCTAGAACGGGTTGATCCTTGTTTCTTTCTCAGCTTCCTTTCCCATAAAATATCCTGATGTGTCCTTGAGACGACATCATCCTTGTACTTTTGGTTTCCGCGGTCGACCCGAAAATCTATATCTACGAATGACGATGTCCGACAGGGGTAGATGTGGATTGATCCATACAGATGAATAGATGCTTGATTTTTACCTTTAATGACATACTTTCCTGCTGTATAAAGTTTCTCCTGTTCTGTGCGTATGGTCTTTTCAATCCGTGTGTGATAATCATGGTGAGAACCTGAAGTTGGCGGTGACATGCAAAACTCAATTAGATCGTATTATACTTTACTTATGGAGCAGAATAAATAAAAAATAAATTAAACATAGATCCACCAGAAGACAAGAGGAAAAGAAAAAAAAGAAAAAGAAAAGCGCATTCCAGACAAATCCCACAGCCACGTGAAGGATCGGTCATTGCTTAGTATGCGGTGCATAGACCCTCGTCCCGGGTTAGTCAGTTCTTATCCATGCTTATCCAAGACCAACCACAACGTCATACATTCAAACCCTATACTCCCGAAAAAAAAGACTATAAAAGTCTCCAAACTCCCCAGCTCAATCGCCCACCCCAAAAAAAGAATTAACACCCAATTCATACCATCCAAAGCCGAATCCCAGACAAAAACAATTCAAGCAAAAAAAAAAAGAAAGAACAAAAGAAGGGGGGGGAAAAAAAGACAAGACAATGTCCAAACTTAACCACGCAAAGATCATCCTCCGCCGGTCCAGCGAGCGCGGATACGCCGAGCACGGCGGCTGGCTGAAGACATACCACACGTTCAGCTTCTCCGATTACTTCGACCACCGGTTCCAGCAGTTCGGGTGTCTGCGCGTGCTCAACGAAGACCGCGTGTCAGCACGCAACGGCTTCCCGACGCATCGCCACCGCGATGCCGAGATCTTCAGCTACGTGCTCAGCGGCGAGCTGACGCACCGCGACAGCATGATCCAGAAAGGCAAGGAAGGCGCCCAGGGCAAGGATTTCTATCGCATGAAGCGCGGCGATGTGCAGTTCACCACTGGTGGGAGTGGTTAGTACCCTTGCTTTTTTTTTATATAACTTTCCTGAATGAAACCAAACCAGACGAACAACACAACTAACGAGTCATTGTTTAGGAATCGCCCACTCCGAACAAAACGAGCACCCCTCGAAGACAGTTCATTTCCTCCAAATCTGGGTCCTGCCCTGGAAATCCTCCCTCAAGCCCCAGTACCACACGCTGAGCTTCTCCGACGACGCAAAGCGTCAGTCCTTCGTCCCCATTATCTCTCCCCTGGCTGCCGGGCCCGAGGCCACCCCTGCCCAGGAGGAGGCTGCCGTGCCCGCCATCGCCGGGACGATCCCCATCCATGCGGATTTCGTGATGGGTGCGGGAATCCTCGAGTCCGGGAAGACGTTCCGGTGGGCGGTTGGTGGCGGAGAGGGTGCGGTGCAGTCGCGGCGGAAGCGGAATGTGTACGTGCATCTGCCGGCGAGCCGGACGGGAGGGGCGAAGATTCGGTTGGATGGGAGAGAGGATAAAGTGTTGGAGGAAGGGGATGGGGCGTTTGTGGAGGGGGTGAATGTTGGGGATGTAATTTCGGTGGAGAGTTTGGGGGAGGCCGAGGCGGAGGTGGTTGTTTTGGATAGTAATTAGGGTCTTTTCTCCCTGTTACTTGTGTGCTTTTACTTGTGGTCTTTGGTTTTGGTGGGCGTTGGGTTTGGTTTAGTTTGCTTTCTATGTCTAGATACCAAGGATTGGTGTGGGTATTTTGATATACTATGTTGAGAATTTAATTTATTCTCATTCTAGACCGGTCCACTTTCCGATGGGTCTGTTGGAGTTCTTCGGTATGCCGAGTTAGTTTTCAGATCCCGGAGAATATAGTAGAGTATTTTTCGCTAAGGGTAATGACTGGGAGAGTTGTACCTAGATCTGGAACAAGAACTAGCACGTCACTGTGGAAATTAGATGTATTTATACCATTAAAAACTGACGAACCTATGGAAACTAATACAAATACATAATACATATCGGGTGTCCGTCTGCCCCTGTTCAATATATCCAATAAAGAAGATAACAGCCTAGATCATAATCTCTGTGTCCCGACTTAGAACACGCCCGGTAGATCGAGACAGATCAGAAGAAGAAAAGTCATATGGTATCTCGAAGCGACAGACCGGCATACATGATAAAAATACATCCGGAGAGGAGAAGATTCGTTCTCTGGTCTAAATGTACAGAGTAGTTGCAGTAACCGCAAAGAACGCCGCCCAATGCATTCAGAAGTTTGTTCTTTCAATCTTTTCAGACAGATACGGGTAGTCAGCGACATATATGCTGTCTACCTGGATTAATAGCGGTCTCTGTTGTCCCAGCGGTTAGAACCACGGCGGCGAGAGTCGTAGCTGCGCTCGTGGCTGCGCTCGTGGTTGCGCTCGTGGTTGCGCTCGTAATTGCGCTCGTGGCTGCCTCTGCGGTTGTCACGACCACCCCTGAATTGGCTAGGACCACGAGAGGAATCACGCTGGCCTCGAGGAGAGCCAAAACGACGTCCCGAAACATTTGCCTCCCTTACGTCGGCCACGCCCAGGTTTTGGGCCATGCCAGGGGAAATCGATGGGGGCTCAGGCAGGTAATAGCCATGCACGGCGAGCTCGTTCATGGCGAGAATCATATCTCTCGGACGGGAGAAGACTGACATCAGAGTGCCCAATTGAGACTTGAATGCCTGTTCCCGGATGTCTTCGGGAACCTTGAGCATAGCCTCCTTGACTTGCGACACAGACTCCGCGGCAGAAGGGGAAACATCGTCGCCCACTTCCTCGCGCATGTTCGTGACGGCCGTGGCCAGTGTGTGATCTTTTTCGATAGGAAGGTCTCCCAACCTTCTCTGGATCCAACCGTTCTCACCAGGATGAAGGAGGATCCATCCCTCACCTTCCTTGTTTGCTCGCCCAGTACGTCCGATACGGTGGATGTAGGTGTCACGGGAACGAGGGGCACCAACCTGAATGACATGAGTAACGTCTGGAAAATCCAAGCCTCTCGCCGTTACGTCCGACGAGAAGAGGATACCAGAGCGGCTGTTCCGGAAAAAGTCGGAAGTAAGCGTTCTCCGGTTTTGGGTCAGACGTGAGTGGAGCTCCATCATGTACATCTTGTTCAAAGGGTGGCCACTCCGGCGGTCATCGGGGTTGTTGAGCAACTTGCTAAAGACTTGGTAGGCCAAATTCACTTGCATGGTGGAGTTAAAGTAGACAATAGCCTTGAAAGGTCGAGCACTGCGGTCATTGGCCACGTGTGCTTGATAATTCTTAGCCAACTCGAGAATGGCGGGCAAAGCATTCTGGAAGCCATCGAGCGTAACAGTCTTCTGAGGAACTGCGAGATGAGTAGGTACTTCATCCTCCTTGACAGTTTGGATAGTTTTGAAATCAGGTTTCATAGTTTGGTGAACCATGGACAAGACTTCCCTCGGGACAGTAGCCGAGAACATGAGCGTCTGGCGGTCGACTTTCATCGGGTCAGGAAGTAGGCGTTGAATGTCGAAAATCTCAGGAGCGAAACCATCATCCAGCAAGCGATCTGCCTCGTCGAGAACAAAGCTAGACAACTTAGGGGCCTCGACACCACTCTCTGGGTCGGAAAGAATATCCTTGAGTCGGCCGGGCGTACCAACCAACAAGTGACAGCCCTCTCTCTGGATCCGACGCAGGCCTTCCATCTTACGAGTGCCACCGACAGCCGATTGCACCACGATCCCAGTACCCGAAGCGATCTTTTTCGCTTCTGTAGCGATCTGCTCCGCAAGCTCACGGGTTGGGGAGATTATGATGGCACGGATATCTGCCGACGTAGCTCCTGGGCCTGAACGCCTGTAAGAACGTTTTTTGACAGTGGGGTCCTTTATGATGTTTTGCACCACGGGTATGAGGAAGGCAAGTGTTTTTCCAGTTCCAGTCTTTGCTTGAGCCAACCTGAAAGAACACAAATGTCAGCATCAAAGAACACGTCGCGGACAAAAGTCAAACTCACACATCGTTCCCTTGCAGAGTTTCCTGAATGGTCATGCTCTGAACATCCGTCATCGTCTTGATACCCATCTTCTTGTCAAGGGTGCGAATAATGATGGGGTCGACCAAGCCTTGATCCGCCAGCTGCTTGAAATTTGACAGGCGACCATCCTGGTCGGCCTCAGCATTCTGGGCCTGAGCTTCGGCAACGGCAGAGAAAGAGACTCGGGATGCATGGAAAAGCGAGCGGGGCACATGCGAGACTGCAGAGAAGGCCGGTGGATGCCATTGTAGCTGCTGGGGTGTCACTCTGGCCGAAAGAAACCGTGGAGCAGAAGCGCGCAGCGCATGGGCAACGCCATTTCGGCGGAAAGCGCCCAACATGATGAGAGCAAAGGGGAATATGAAAAAGTACCCAAAGGACTCAAGACAAGAAGCGACTATCAAGAGAAAAAAAAATGAATCAACTGAAAAGATATTTCCACGAAAACAAATGATGGGTAAAAGTGAGATAGGGATGGATGAGAAAAAACGGCTGTTTTGGCAAGAGGCGACAAAAGAAAAAATGTCCGGCAGAAAAACTGTCCAAGTCGGAAGGGATCTCGATCAGCCACTCAGAAGGCAAGGATTTCCTCCCGACAAGGAACAACAACAATCCGTACCTGGAGGTAATTTACCAACCATTTTTGCTTGTTCATCGCTTAGAGTAGTATTAAGTTTGTAAATAGAAGTATAGCTATAGTCATTATAGAGATATGCCCATTTCTTTCGGATCTCAGTTGTGAAGTTCGACAGGCAAGTCGATCACGGAGTATGTCCATACTGCACGTCCAGTATGCGTGGGTGTCCTGTACTGTATCAAACTTCTATGTTGATGGCCTCAGGCAGTGTTCGGGTGTTGAAGTTTGATAAGGACGAAGGATCATTTAAGTACCCCTGGAGAGAGTATGACACTAGTCGGGATCATTGAATAATCTAGAAGAGATAATGAGTCCATGGTCTACAGAGTACCGAAGATCAAGTTAGTATCCAATTCAAGCCATTGAGAAGATGTGCTGACTAAGCGTCGGATGCAGAAAGTTAAAACAAGACTGAAGAAAAAAGAAAAAGATGAAGAAAAATGATCATTCCATGACTTCATTTTGGGTAGGGATTAGTTATGTACATTACGAGGAACATGATATATACTTCTTAACTTGACAACATTATACATCAACCATCTACCATCACGGAAGTATGCCCCTTCAATTGATTAGTGAACCTCGCGTAGCAACTTTTAGCAACATCTCCGACGGAGACATTACTCATTTCCTGATTTGTGATCATCAGCAAACTCCGTCCGGTTGTTTTGCCCAGAAGGTTATTCTCTTCCGTGCCTCCAAAGAAGTCTGAATAATGTACTCCGTAGCGATCCACCCAACCACTCTGCAGGTTCAACGTCACCCATACTTGTCAACCCACTTTGCTGTTTCCGGAACCTTTTGCCTCGGGCGTTCTTCCCCATCTTTTGCCTCTCGAGAAGCTTCTGCCGTGTTTGAACTTTGGGGGTGAATCTTAGTTGCTTTATAATCGTCATGAGAGGAGATTGGAACTGCCCCGCTTTGCTTGAGGGGTGGTCGCCTATAAAAGGAACCTGTAGCTCGAGCCTATATAACTCTTTTATCCATAACGTTACCCATATCTATCTATACCCAACATAACTTGTTTGTTGTGATTACTATCCTCTCTCAATCTACCCGCCTTTCCATACTCATACCTTATCATCACCATGTCCCAGAACAAGGCTCTCGTCTTCAAGAAGGTCCCTCAGGGATATCCCGTCCCTGGACAGGACATTGTTGTCGAGTCCGTGTCGGTCGACGCCAACTCTCCCGCTCCTGCCAATGGTGTTGTCCTGCAGTCTCTCTACACTAGCCTTGATCCCTACATGCGTGGCCGTATGCGCCCCGCTGAGGTGAAGTCCTACTCTCCTGCCTTCGCCATGGACAAGCCCATCGACAGTAGCTCCATCGCTAAGGTCCTCCGCTCCAACAACTCCAAGTACAAGGAAGGCGACCTGGTCATTGGATTCGTCCCCATCCAGGAGTACATTGTCCTGGACGAACAGTCCATCGTCCGCATTCGCCCTCTCGAAAACCCCTTGGGCATTGAGGATATCCGTGTCTTCCTGGGTGCCCTTGGTATGCCCGGTCTGACCGCTTATTCGTCCCTGTACGAAATCGGCAAGCCCAAGAAGGGCGAGACTATCTTCGTTTCGGCTGCCAGCGGTGCCGTCGGTCAGCTGGTCGGTCAGCTCGCTAAGCATGAGGGCCTCAAGGTCATCGGCAGTGTCGGATCGGACGACAAGCTGGAATATATCACCAAGGAGCTGAACTTCGACGGTGGTTTCAACTACAAGAATGAGAAGCCCGCCGATGCGCTGGCCCGCTTGGCCCCCGAGGGTATCGATATCTATTATGAGAACGTTGGAGGTGAGCACCTGGAGGCTGCTTTGGATGCCTTAAACGACTTTGGCCGTGTCGTCGTTTGCGGCATGATCTCGCAGTACAACTCGGCCCCCTACCCCATCAAGAACATCCAGTACGTCTTGACTAAGCGCCTGACTATGCGTGGCTTCATTGTTGGCGATGCCGGCATGGGTGACAAGTACACCAAGGAGCACCAGGAGAACGTTCAGAAGTGGATCAAGGAGGGTTCGTTCAAGGCTCTGACCCACGAGACCGTTGGTATTGACAATTCGGCCGACGCTCTACTTGGTATCTTCCACGGAAAGAACAAGGGCAAAGCTGTCCTGAAGTTCTAAGCTGTCCATCTTTTGTTACATAAGAGTATAGTGCATTTTGCAGGCGTTCTTTGTGTACCTCGGTAAACTGATGTTATAATAAATAATGTTGGGAATATAATGAATCTTCAAGAAAAATAGTACAATTTCTGTATTTAAGAAAAATTGTAACATAGGCAATAATAGCAGTAAACGTAAACGATGACCGACAACTCCAAGAAGGCTGTAAGGGAGACATTCATGTTTTCCGTCTGTATAGCCGATTAATATTATTTGCCGGAATGTCGGCCATTTTCGGCTGGGCGGAGAGAGACGGGCCAATCAGCTGAACCGCAATAGGATGACCGCATTCCCGATTGGACTTCCGAGGTTCCATCCTGACGAACTTGAACGACTTCATCTTGTTGCTTTGCCTCGTGCAGCGTTGAGTCGCAGAGAATATACCCAACGTCTTGCATTTCAACACCTTCGCAATGGCCTCGATCGCCCGCCAGTCTTCCCTCCTCCGGCAGTCCTGCCTCTCTGCTTTCCGCTCGCCATTCGCGACCAGAAATGGCGCCGGCGTGTCGCAGGTTGTGGCCTTCCATGCCTCCGCGAAGAAGCAGATTCTGCCTCCTTTGCCTCGTGAGTGACTCCGAATATGACTTGATCGTGGCTATAGTATCAATTATGGTTGTTGGTCGGCTGGATGTCAAGGAAAGAGATGCTAACGAGTTCGAACAGAGACCATTCAGGGAACGAGTACGTCCATCCCCGACTCCTGAAAGACTCAGATCGAGCTTCCTGTTTGCTGCAGAGATACAGTGGTACTAACCGGTCAATTACGTAGTGAACGACGCTGCTCCCATCCCCACCCCTCACCCCTCGGAGGGAAGCTACCACTGGAGCTTTGAGAGGTGTGTAGATAAGCTCACGTTTCATGCACCTGACAGGATACTGAACTAATGACTAAACAGAGCCATCGCTGCCGGTCTTGTCCCTCTCACCATTGCGCCCTTCGCTGCTGGCTCTCTCAACCCAGTCATGGACGCAGTCCTTTGCTCTTTTATCGTTCTCCACTCCCACATTGGATTCCAGTATGTTCATCCATCTTGACATGAATCTTTGATCCCGTTCGATACTCATACCACCTAGGGCTGCCATCATTGACTACTTCCCCGCTCGCCGTGTCCCCAAGACCGCCACATTCTGCAACTGGCTCCTGCGCGCCTTCACTCTTACCACTGCCGTCGGTCTGTATGAGTTTGAGACCAACGACGTTGGTGTAACAGAGGCTTTCAAGAGGGTCTGGAAGGCATAGATCGTTGCATTGATATATCCCTGTTTCTCATTACTTTCTCTTTAAACTTTCCTTCCGTTCAGGCGTTTTGCCTATGTACATGCTGTTTCTGTTAAAGTAAACCAGTCCAGCTGGTTGGCGCTCTTGGTATTGAGCTAAAAGATATGTAACTGTTCAAATGGATACTGTTGGAAAATGTCTCTTGCTTTCTTTTGAATCCTTTTAATACGGTCCTCAATAACCTTCAGAGAAGTACAAACGACCAGCGTTTATAAAACCATGCCGTATGCAAGCCAACCACAGCCCTACATCCTAATCACTCTCCTCTTCCGCTTCCTCAAGACCATCCGACAACCGATCATCATCATCAGCCTTCTCAACCACCTTCTCAATCAACTTCAAAGCCGACTTCAACGGCAAACCCACTACATTATCCCAGCTCCCCTCGATACTCTCTACCAAAATCGACCCCAACCCCTGCAACCCATACCCACCAGCCTTATCCGCCCCCTCCCTAGTCCGCACATAAGCCAAGATCAACTCATCCGTAACCTCCCCATCAAACCGCACCCTCGTCTCCTCCAGCGCCGTCTCAAGCGCATACCCCGGCTGCCGCGCACTAACCAACGGCGCCATAGCCGCCATCGCCGTAAACACCTTATGGTCACGATTATCCCGTAGCGACTTCAGCATGGCGATATGCTGCGCCTCGGAGCGGGGCTTCTCAAGAATCGTCCCGCTAGCTGTATCCACGACGATGGTGTCCGCCGCGAGAATCAGCGCCGGCTCGCCCTTCTCCTCGTTCACGATCTCTTGTTCATAGACCGCTTGCGCCTTCTTCGTGGCCGTGGCGAGCACGTACTCGAACGGCTCCATTGTCTTGGGGAAGTCCTCGTCCGCATTGGAAGGGATGACTTCTAGATTGGGCAGGCCGAGGTGAGACATAATTTGTCTGCGGCGCGGGGACTGCGAGGCGAGGATGACTCGCTTGCCGCGGAGCTCATTGAGCACCGGGAGGGAGAGCGGCGGCGGACGGGGTAGTGGTGTACGAGGTGCTGGTGGGTTGTTGTTGCTTGTTGCGTCGTAGGCTGGTGGGGGGTCGATGGGTTCGGATTGGGAGAGAAGGGCGGTTTTTGAATCGGACATTTTGGGGTTACAATGTTTCTTCTGTCCTCGTTTTTCTTCGGCGTATTGTATATAATGTTGCGGATGTGTTTCTATAGTTGAACGTGTACGGGGAAAACTTTCTCAATGCACGGTTGATTTGCTCGAATATGAGTCGTATCTTTTTGGTTTCTGGATCTTGATAGATGGGCGGTGGATCGTGGCAGAATCTAGCGATAAGGTGGTTTTCTTTTTCTTGCGGGTTTTCCGGATCGTCGTATGCTTGCGGACTATCCATACATAGTACCTGTTATTTGTTTAGCTGTCAGCCAGACATGAACGGTATAAAGAGATAGTGGTATATATGATTAAATAAGGGGCATGTGTACCACACGTTATGCTTTCTGGCTTTCTTTTCACTTTTCTTCATCTTCCTTTATTTTATTTTATTTTATTTTTTTATTTTTTTTGATTGTTCGAAGTTTCCATATCTTCTAGAACGTGTGCCAAGCAGATGTAAGATCCGGTATTTTGGTACATGTATCCAGAGCCATAAGAAAGGATGACGATGACATCCATGGATTAAGTATAAAGTAAGGAGTATTGGAAATAAAGATGCAAGATACCCGCAGGCAGTTGCTTCATAATAAAAATCAAAGACATCAATTATCCAATATCATGTCATGTCGTAACTGAGGGCAAGGAATATATATTTCTAGCGTGATTGTATTGTAGACCGATTGACGGTTAAATAAGTTTAGGGACACATATAGTAGAAAGGAGTATCCATAATTTCTTTTGCTAGAAAGCTTCTGATAGTGGTTTGATATTGTCTGGTGTCCATGGTTAGAGGTATGTCTGATATTGATCGCTCCCTTGTCTCCAACGCCCCCTCTTTGATATCCACTTCTGAAGAGTTACACAAGTATATCCAGCTAAGAACCTCATATATATATTTCTCCAAGCTAGCCTACACAGAAAGGTAGGACAAAGCTGATATTGTACTTGTAAAGCGGTAAATAACAATGAACATACCCGTCCCCTGTCCGGTTCAACTATTACAAGCCACTCCAACCAACACCTGAACACCATAGAAAGCGCCTTGTCAAACCAACATTGATGTACAACGAGCAAGCAGTGGAGAATGAAACAGTAAGAAAGAAAGAAATAACAAAAAAGCAGGCATGCAGAGTACCATATGATCAAGGCGGGCGCGATATGACAAGATAGTGAGCTCAACCGTGGCTCGAAAATTTATAAATGGGAAGCAATCCATGCCTTCTTTCTTTTGCATTGAATGGCATTTGCAATGATAGTACCAAGCGCAGGGTATTGTATCCATCCGCACAACTCCGTAAATCAAGTCATCAACATCATCATACTTCAAGCCCGATCGAACCTCGGCTGAGGATGCAAACCCCGACGGCCGTGCCAACGTCACGACCGAAAGGTATCGTCAATGTGACCACCTCTGCGCTCAATCTCAGCTATGAGCTCCTGCCTCTCTTGCAGTTGCATGTGAATAAAATCAACAGTCTTTCTCAGCACAATGCTTTCGCTTCGGCCCTGGCCTTCCAGGCCCGGAACTAATTCCGTTAGGCGATCGAAGCCCTCGCGGATCGCTGCGCGGCGCTTTTGCTCCGATGCAATGTGGTTGTTCTTCTTTTCTTGCTCTGTCAATCGCGGCTTCTCCTTGTCCTGGGCGCTGCTTGAGCCAGCATGCTTGGTTGATGAAGCAGTGGGGGTGGATGAAGAACGGTCATTGCGGTCGTCGGTCGTGTTAATTATGCCTGGACCGGGAGAACACGAGGTCTCAGAAGAGCTGGATGCGAGGGATGCTGGTGGTTGTGCAGATGGCATGGTGGTAGGTAGGTAGGTAGGTTGGTTGTTGTTGTTGTTGTCAAGTTGCTGGAAGTGTGTCGGAGAGATTTTCATGTGATAGACGGAGGGAACAGTGGGTAAAATGTACAAGAGCGCTGGTGGGTTCCAGGGAACCGGAAAGGAATGTGAATGGAAAAAGAGAAGAAAACTAGCGTCTAAAAGTATGTAAATTAAGACAGATGAGAAGGGAAATAAAAAAAAGGAAAGAAGAAAAAGAAGTAATTAATGAGTGAGAGCCCCAGGGGGGAATTTGTTCTAAGCGTACCTAGTGACCTGCATGACTGACCACTTTTATATGCTTCGGCGTACAATTAAATCTTGAGCGCACACTAAGAAATCCCCCAAAGTAACCTAAGGTGCGGAGCAATTAATTTAGTTGCCGAATCGAGCGCTGCCAAGACTTCTCGATCCATGGACTCGCACCTTACGTCATCGATGCCAATGGCACGTCCTCAGGCCACTACGCAGTCTTTGTAGTAGATTCATGCGTAACCCGGAACTGTCTTTCACTGAATCTCTTTCTAACAGCAATTGGCCATTCTTGACTCCTCTGAGTCTGTGCTACATATTAAACCGCGAACTAAATTAATGACACCGGTGATCAGATACATACTACCAACATAGCTCATCATACAGCACTTAACCTACACATAAGGCACAATGACAAGTCGCCAACCCCTTCGCGGCTCCTGTCATTGTGGGCGCAATCAATACCTTATACAGCTCCCAGAGGACGTCTCTGAGCACGCAGAGATCTACTTTGACAGTAGTCGGGATAGCCGTACGTCATATACACCCTCATCAATCATGAAACGATATCACTAAAAATATCCACGTGAAACAGGAAGAATCCACGGAACGCCTCTTACTGCATGGCTTCGAGTCCCTTTGGACTGGTATCAATCTCATACTGAATCCTACTTCGACGACGAATCGCGTGCGACAATCCGGCGCATCTTCTCCCCCGCTCACGCCCCGCATACACAGCACGCTTTCTGCGGATTTTGCGGAACACCTCTCTCATATTGGACTGATGCTCCCAGTGACGAGGCGAACTATATGTCGGTGACAATTGGGAGTCTTTCGGGGGATGATCAACGATTGTTGGAGTACCTGGGCCTTCTTTCCGAAGATGAGGAGGGCGAAGTGGAATCTGAAGGTAGCCGGGAGGACCGGTCGACTGATATGCCACTTCGCACAACGCAGGCACCCTTGCCGCTTTCCCATACTATCATACCTCCCTCAGGTGAGACGCGGGGCGTTTCTAAGACCTATAGACAAGGCACGGTAGCTGGGATCCCGTGGTTTGAGGAGATGATCGAGGGCAGTCGACTGGGTCGCATGATGAAGTCTAGACGTGGGTTCGGTGTCAGTGATGATCAATCAACAACGATACAATGGGAGGTTAGCGAATGGACGCACGATGGGTCAGAGGGAGCTCAATCTAGTTCGTCTGGGAAGCGGAAGCGTGGGCAGCATGCTAGCGTAGAGGAAAATGGATCCCCGTAAACTAGAAAGGTAAAAGAACAATGCACTATGCACTATGCTTAATTAATACAGTTATCATGATTTAGTCTTTGGCCCTAGGTTATTGTAACATAACCAAGAAGTCATAGGACATATCTTAGCTATTGGGCTGTGAGTTTCTCTGTTGGCAGTTTTACAGCCAGTACTACAAGCAATTTATAACCTGCTCATTTGCCACCTCACTACTGCCTACGTAGATCTTACCATAATAGGTTATGAATTTAAAAAATGTCTATACTTGCTCAATACATTGGACTCAAGACTATAAAGATCGTCGTCCTTGTTGGGCTGGAGTAGACCATCACTGCAGATGCGGATCCTTTCTATAATAGAGGAGACATATCACATTGACAATAAACCTGTCAGGTCTTAGACAACATATTCTGCTATAGATGTCATAAGCAGGAGGAACCCTAGCGTGACTATGCATGCCTGAGGCGATCTTCCTTGCACAGACCTGGTTTCCTAATTGGGTATCGCGTCATGGCCTCGCTTAGCGTTTCCATGCCTGCTACGAACAGTGTAGTGAAGCACGTCTTTATCTGTTCTCAAACAAGGAACACTGCTGAATTTATCATAGTCTTTTCATCCTTCTCATAAGGACTTTTGTCACTTTCCAGCATCCAGTATCTATAGGTGTCTCTGCTGTGACATATGATCGAGGAGCTCCCACCTATGCATTCATACATGCATAGATGGGAGCTCCTGTACCATTTGGATCGTTGAACAACGCGAATTCTCATCAGGTATCTTTTCGACCAACCCATGAGTCTTCAAAGAAGCAATCGACATATGTTCCACCTGCATTTAGTGAGTTCCTTTGGAATGCTTGTCCAACGGGAGATGTGTTGACATATTGATAGAATACCTCAAGTCTTATCCATCATTGCAAAGTAGGGCTCCCACAATATGCTCTTCCAGGACCTTCGAATTTATATTCAATACCGAAGATGGGGGCGAATGAGTCAAGCCTTCAGATGTTGAGGCCCATCAAGTGTTTCGATACCGCGAGCAGATATGATGGCAATCAGCTAGATGCCATCAACTAGCATGAGCCAATATCTCGAGAAATTCCACATATGCTAGAGCTATGTACGGCCAGTAGCTGTGCATGCATGCAGAAATCTCGAATCACATTCTTGGCTTTGCAATCTCAAGAACCGATGGACAATCCAATGAGCAGCAGAAGACAACATTGACAACGAGCGCCGAACTACAGCCAAAGAATATTAGGTCTGACTGTATATTTATGATATTATGGGAAAGGAGCTAGAGAAAGTCCTGCACTGGAGGTGAACGATGGTGATTATAGCTGCAGAATCCCGTTTTCTTCTACTTTCCTTTAGTGATTGCCCCATTTATCTGCACGGCTACTCATACTCATGCCTCAGTGTGAAGAGTCCAGGCAGCGATGAGGTAGTCACACGCACGACATCATCCTTTCCCAACGAAACACTCTTACCCCGACAGTTTGCACGGCAACACATTTATCTCTCGGTGAGGAAAGGAAAGCCAGATTCCCACACGTCCACAACATCTCTTTCAGCCAACCCCTTCCTCAATTCCTCATCCTGGAAACACCCCTCATACTCCTTCCAACCAGCCGTCCAGATAGTACTTTATCTGCAATATCTCTTTAGATTCTTCAGAATCCACTATTGCACATCTACACATCAATACTCTACTAAATATGTCCTCTTACCCCCCTCGTTTGTACGATCCCTTTGTGGAGTCTTCTACGACAGGCAGCCAAGAGGAAACCCCCAGCTGCGAAATGCAAGCCCATATGATTAGCGAAGGTCAGTAACTTATTCACGATTTCCCTTCTCCAATAGAGTAGAGCTTCCTTGAGCTTTCCTTCAGAGTCACTTCAAGTGGCGAATCACTTGTGCTACGATAGTTCCTGATCTACACGATGATAATCTACAAACCCTCTCTATGGATCGCTAAATAAGCTGTTATCTTTCATTTGCACAACTAACTTTGCATCTGCTTAAAAACAGGCCAAGATGTTAGATCTGACTCCCCATGTAGTGAGAGTGACACATCGACGATAAAGCCCTATCAGTCTGGCAAGTTTCGAGAACAGGGTAACTAGAGCATCCTTACCACCTTTCCCCCCTATCTCTTGTTAACAATCTCACAGAAGAGACGCGCAAATATGAGACTCCTCAGGAGCCTAAAAAACCGAATCTCACCACCACCCAGCCCCCTACCCGTATTCCCCGTGGAGTAGTCTTTCAAAGACACGGCCAGGAATCAGTTGCTACTGCACAGAAAGGGGGCCGAGTCATCTCAGAGCAGAGCAGCTCACTCCCGATTCCAATCCCTGTCCGTAGTCCTGAGCGCCTGAATAGTCGTTCAAAGGCACGGGGTGATGGCTTTGCTGGTGGTATTCGAGTGATTGAGAAGCCTCGTGGTCCTCGCCCCCACATTTTGGCTGAGCAGAAAAAAGACTCAGCTTCAAGTTCGGTTGAAGAAGCACCCAATCAGCCGAAGGAAAACATCACCTCTTCCTCATCATCATCCGGCGGTTGGAGCCTCGAAGAGGGAATGCCCAAGCGACCCACCAATGTGTATACTGGTGAGTATCGTACTCGTCCTACCCTCAGAATTGCCGCTTCAGCAGAGAAGATTATCATGGGTCCGGATAGCCCTGGCAGCACGTATGCAGTCACACAACGATCACACCCAGGCCCCGTTCAGCATCCGGATACACCAAAACACGTCTTTAAGGAAGGGCTTCGTAGCATTGAGGATACAACAGGGACCTCGGGATTCAGACATCAAGACAAGAACACCACTGAAGACATCCCAGTTACTCCGTCATCCAACACCCCCCAGATATTGCTTGAGACAGCCCCAAAGAGGGACACTGGTGGCCGCCAATTTTCAATTCCACGCAAACCTGTCAACAGTCCAAGCCTATCATCTCTTTCCACCCCCAGCCCCGAATGTATGCAGTCTACCCCTCCCATACCAAACCTCCCTATGCAATATGAAGCTTTAGTGAAAGGAGGCATAGCATCTGGCCCAGTGACTCCAGAAAAGACCGCTGCTCCCCGAGCTGAAATGTTTGGGCAAAGTACAGGAGAGAGTGAGGCTATAATAAAACCTCAGAACAAACGGACAGCGTCGCTGCAAGCCGTGTCCGATTTCCTTATTCACGATGCGCCACTATCAGTCCAGAACAGGACATTTGACGACATCGTATCACAAAGTCCTAGCCACAATATGACGCCCCAAAGCGCTAGGATTCCTGATTCCCGGAGCAGCCGTATGCTTGATGGCTTTCGGAATATCTTCAAGCATAGAAGCACCATGGATAAGGATAAAAAGGGGCCTAACGAAGGATCTGGCCTTGCATTCGAAGACCCGAACACCAGCAGCGCGAAGCTTACCACAAGTCCTGAATACAGCAAGCTCGACTCTGGAAGGACAGGACTTAAGGCAAGTGCCAAACACCCCAAGTCATCTGAGGGTTGGAACAAAAACCTGCGCCTCCCCATACCCTCAACAGACAGACACAGAAGACCCACAATCTCGGCGCCCATCCCAATATCACCTGAAAACATGCCTTCATTCGCCCGGACCACAATGGCGGCACGCACCAGGGCCGTGACTAGTCCACGTGGACAATCAGCTATCTCTCCTCAAGGTCCAGCGCGCAGGACTCACACAGTGGCTGCCACCACTGGGAGTCCTCAGCGCACTAGTCGCCCCAGCAAAGGCACCGAGGCAGTTATGTCGCCTATGCCGAAGCAAACCAACCCGTCGCATGTTGCGGGGCTGACTAAACCGGACACCACCACTTCTCAGACGAAAGCTCCCCAGATTGAGAGAAGTGCCTCTAGCTCGCTGTCTAAGACCCTGGATGGTATCCGCTCTTGTGTGGAGCAGCTGTGCAACAAAGCGCGGGATGAGAGCACTCCGAGTAAGCGGGAACGAAATCTCCGCGTAAGTATTATTTACATTCATAATTTTTGCTTCTTGGAAACTGAGAAATGAATGGCTCTAGATGGCACTGTCGTTGCAGCAGCAAGTCAGTGATTACAACAGCATTGAAAAAGAAGTCGCAGAGGCTGAAGCATGGGTGTCTAAGAAACGTGCAGAAAAATGCCTCGCTGAAAACATACTGCTCGAATCATATTCCCAGATTCGGGCTCAAATGAACGAGGAATAGATATCAATTAGCCTATCTGATGCTTAGTTTTCAGTGGCTAAGACGAACGTTAAGTTGAGCATGCCTACCTTTCACTGAGATGACTGGCTTGGTAAATGCTTAAGTCCCGTGGAAGGTGCCCGAAGACGAGTTGGAGAATAGGAGGTTTCTTTGAATGCCACGTTGCCATATGTTTCTTTCTTTTTGTGAACAGGGCGAGCTGCTCCTTCCTCATTTCTATGGACACAAATAACTACTACGAGTCAGCTTCGATACTGAGTGAGGACAGGGGTAGGTCTTGCGTTTGAGACGGGTTATCCTTTCCTTTTTGTTCTCTTGTTTGCCGTTGTTTTCAAGGAAGTGGGAAAGAAAGAGAGGAAACAAAAGGAGCATAGAAACTGACAAAAAAAAGGAAAATACCAAATTACCTTCAGAGAATGTTACCTGTATGAACGACGATTCATGGTCATATTTCTTTCTGAGTTGCATTCTATTGAGCCACATGTTGGCGCCCACAGCAATGGTTGAGGAACAAAAAGGAGATGTAAAAAGAAGTTGAAAGCTTGTAATAAAGCAGATCACAATACACAAACTGTATCTGTGATTTTGGAAGCTTCAAACATCCATTCAGATAACAGTTGCGAGTAACGGGCGCGAGCACAAGCATGTTGGTGTGCTCGCGCCCTGAAGGGGGGGGTGAGAGGTGAAGAAGGAAGGAAAGAAAGAAGGAGGAGGACAAAAGCCTGAGGCCGGCAATTTATACAATCAGGATTTCTTCCTTCCTGATATGTTGTGTTTGTCTGGTTGCTTTGTTTTTCACACGCCACCACATACGCAGTTCTTGTCACCAGACCTGTTCTTTGTTTCAGATCTCATTTCGACAATCAAGACCAGGGTTACTTCCACAAGATCCTCTTTGTCCCTTACCATAGTTCAAGGTAGACTATTCTCATTCAGTGCGATACCTTAATTTATGAAATGCTGAAGATGTGTGACAGTCACGTCCTTGCTTAGGATCTAAAACACCCACCGGTTCGATCTAGCCGGGTATTCAAGAGAATCCAGCCTGCACCATGACAAGAAGTGGAAAGTACCGGAGACGCCAAACCGGCCATGTAAGTCCCGTATCATGCTAAGCCTCGCGAATAAATACACGGGCTAACTATATTATTTATAGCATTGTCATAGTGTCGCATACTCATTGCAACCTTTTCTCCCCAGTTACGGGGCACAATATCCGGTATTTCCGAGACCCATTTCTTCGGTGCCACCTGGTTCGATGCCTTTTCCACATGGCTTTATACCCCTGGCGCATGATAGACTTCCTCCCAGCTCATTCTTGTGTCCGCAGCCATCGGGGACTCCTCCTGTCTGGAGCCCTGGACCAATCCCTGATTTTTACAGCCAGCATGAAGACTCTGGGATGATGAGGAACGGAAATCATGCCCCCAACACTTTTACTCCAAGACAGACTCCTCTACCTTCTCGACCAACCCAGGCGGGCTATTCCAACCAACATGATCGACCTGTCCAACCCATTCCACAAATCCAGCCTGGCCAGCCGTTCCCCCCTGTCCAGTCCGTTCAACCGCTGCCACAGTTTCAGCCGTTTCACCCAATCCTGTCAGGCCAATCTACTCGATCAAGCCAACATAGCCAGCTGCTCCATCCCCCTCCATACCTTCGACCTGCCCCACCCATTCCATATTATCCATATCAACCTGTTGCTGCACCTGCTATGCCCTGCGTCGCTCCGGTATCTTCCTACCAAGCATATCCGGTAAGAACGATTTCTCGCATGTCTAGAAAGTATTAGCACTGATGGAATATCTTACGGTAGGCATACCCATACCAGCAATCCCCGTGCCCTGCGAATGGTACAGGGGGAGGTCATATACCGGAAACAGTAATAAACCACACGGGAACTCAATTCAGGGACCCGCAGCTTCGCGGTGACGCCCCTGAGTTTTTCCCAGTCCATCAGAGGGCGAGGATGTCGACGGGAGATAAGTATTTGATTGTCGGTAGCCAGTGAAGCCGTCTTTTGAGGGCTACAATATGGCCCGCGGTTATGTTGTCGCCCGTTTGAGTTTCATACCTCTTCATCTTATGCTTACTCGTCAGATGCTCTGGGGGGTTTGGTATGAACGGCTCCAATTGTGAGGGTCGATAGGTTGGCGTTTGGATTGTGAGTGAAGCTGTAGAGAGGGAGATGTTTTCTTAAGCATAGCATACAATGGGATTGTTCGATATAAACCGTTAGTAGTTTACTCTGTACCTGGTGTCAGTGTCGATTAGGGTTGATTCCGGATATATTCCGGAGGCGGATGGCCAATCAGGACAGAGGCCCCAAAAATGAGAGCGGATACAAGAGATTAAACTGCCTCGGGAAAGGATGTCCGCAACGCCTGCCCGAACGGGTTTAGGGAAGGGGAATTGTTGGGGTCGTGTGGGGGATCCTCTTCTGTCTTGGTCACAGTATCTCCCTCCTCCTCCTCTTCCTTTTCCTTCTCATCAACTTCACACAACAGACAACCAACTGAACCTGGACAATGGGCATGACCTGTCATCTTAAAAAGGTCCCTGCACTGTTAACTGGAACCCTGTCATACTGGACCCGCTAAAACCGATCGGGTGTCCACCTACGTGTTCTAACCCGCTGTACTCCGGAGTAAGACAGAGACACTAATGTACTCTCGGCATCTCGCATGGGTTACCGATTCGAGCAAAACATCGACACCCCCTTACTTTAAGTCCATATCATATCATCTGTACAACAGTGTAACTTGCCCGTGGGCCTTGTGCCACCAGCCCCGCCTTGTCCAACATGGTCTTCTGCGGGAAACCGAGCAAAGGCTGCGGTGAATGCCGATCGCGAAAGATCCGGTGCGACCAGGCCCGGCCAACATGCTCCCAGTGTGCCAAGGGAAACCGCGTGTGTCCCGGATATAGAGATGAATTGTCGTTGATGTTCCGTGATGAAAGCCAACAGGTGGTCCGGAAGGCCAAAGCCGGTACCACCGGACGACGGGCTAAAAAGTCCCATAAATCCACTCGCATGCTTTCCCCAAGCGGGAGTAGCCCTCAAGGAACCACCACATCTTCGTCCCTGGCAAGTGACATCTCTGATTTCAACGATCCTTCCGATCTGTATCCATCGCCTCCGGCGGCTCAGCAAGTCACCGGTCCCCTGCCCTCGAAAATCGCACCCCCTCCATCATACCAATTTACCCAAGATGAGGCTGTGTGCTTTTTTCTTCGCTTTAACGCGTGGCCCGGGGTCTGCTGGATAATGGAATTTTCCCCGGATTTCTTCATGATTCCAGAGGTGACTCTCAGCCAGCAGGCAATGAAGGCGAGCCTTGTGGCGGTCGGGACTGCCATGCTCTCGCGTATCCGACAAGATGGACCTCTGAAGATTGCTGCGGAGAAAGAATATGGCAATGCTTTGAATTTGATGTATACCGCTGTGATGGATGAAGAGGAGGCTAAGTCTAATCCAACCCTCGGTGCGGTTCTGTTACTGGCTATCTTTGAGGTAAACCGCTCCCGTCTTGTTCTCCCCATTTACTAGACCTTCACATCTTACTAACGAACAAAAAACAGGTCGTCACGAGTAGAGCTCCAGGAAACATTGAGAAATGGACGAATCATATCTATGGTGCTGCCGCATTACTGGAATTACGAGGCCCAGAGCAACTACAAGACGAAGATGGACTGAAGCTGTTTGTTCAGCTAAGATTTCAGATCGTATGTTGAACTATGGACCCCTCTTCCCCACTCTCTTGCTTGTCCCCGGAGATACTAATGACACGGGTCAGATCATCTGCTGCCTTCAAAGAGCCATGCGGGTCCCCGAGTCACTGATTGACTGTTCGAAGGTTGCCATGTTTCTGCGGACCAGGGTCGATGTCTATGGCGACCGTTTAATTGGCATCGCTGGCAGACTGTCCAATCTACGAGCAGATATTAACATGGGACTTTTGGTTGACCCGCATGAGATCCTATCTGCCGCTTACGGCATTGAAGCAGAGCTAATGGGATGGATTGCAGCCATACCCCCAGAGTTCTTGTACACCAATGTTGAAGCCCCAACATTGTCGGAAATGTCGTCCAACATGTGGGGTCCGGGGCCACACCCATACAACAACAAATATCACATATACAACGATCTCTGGACATGCCATACTTTTAACCAATATCGCTGTGCTCGAATTATTGTCAGCGAAATCATCCTAACCTGCCTGCGTCAACTCTCCCTCAATGTGCCGGCAGCTGCGATTTCCAGTGATCTTCTAGAACATTGTACTAGACTGCGCAATACGACGCGTCAGCTTGCCAACGACATTTGCGCCAGCGCCCCCTACCATTTTAGCGTGGGGAACATCCCGATGGGTCCCTTCGATAGTCTCCCCGTGAATCAGAGCTACGTCGCTGGCCTGCTTCTTCTTTGGCCATTGGTTCTTGCGGGAGCGACAGAGTCGTTGAATCACCCTTTGCGCCAATGGGTGATTTCCTGCTTCCAGCTCATCGGCCATAGCATGGGTGTAGATCAGGCTTTGGCTTTGATTGAGGTCCTAGAGTGTGAATCGGGGATTTTCGACGGTGTAGGGGATGGCGATGACGGCATTTACTTCCGTGAGACTGTTTCACTGGCGACAAATAGAGTCCTGGTAGGGACATGGGCTTCCTGATCACCTTCTTGCTGTTGATAGCATTGGACAAGGTCTCGAAGGATGGATTCCATATATATATATCATCTTCTGTTTATATTCCGATTATGTTAACGACAATACCCCATCTTGATTTACCCATGCCGTCGCTTTCCTCTCAGTGGTTTTGTGTACTCCCTGGTTGACTGATTGCGTTAGATGCAATCCTTGGGGAACGGCCAACCATAGGGTATATTTTTACCAGCTCCCCAAACGTGCATGTACATGAGTGCTTTTGAGAAAGTATCGTGTGTAAGTAACACGAACGATTTAAATCCTGAAATGATCGATGTCTGATGATTGCTAAATGCTTGATAGTTGTGTTGTTAGTCCTCCTATTGGTCTTTAGCCATCGATACCCTATACCCTATACAAGCGATTCGAACTTTGTTAGAAAATCTAACATCCATGGATGTAGACCTAATTAGTTCATCCATGACTTAGCCCCTAGTCTAAAGAGATCGACTTGTAGCCCTGTCGCGCGTTGTCCAGGAAGTCGCTCGATCTTACGAACCAAGCTTTCAGAGCAAGAATGTGAGCGACTTACCTGTGATGTCTGTCTGTAACGAAAACTGTCACATTCAGTTGTGGAATGTTGTGTTTGGCTATGCTGATGTTGGGTAAAGAGGCATATATCCAGATTAAGAATTCTAGAAAGGGATAGAAAGAAGAGATAGAGCGCCCGATGGCGGGCGCATCCCCTTTAGCTGATGTACCACAGTACATAACAGAACATGTGCAACAGTTCCAAGGTATAAATAGCCGGCATGCCGATCTACCTGGCGTTGTATAATGTGAGCCTTGTTAGAGAAAAGCTTCTTACTTGCACCTTTCCACATAAATTGTTGTGATCTGAAGTAGAGTGGATATTGTCTTTTCTTCCAGAAAACTGCGAAAAGAACAGATCCTGGCCCATTACATTTGCCATATTTTCATAGATTCATATTGATTCTCAATCCTGGACATATCGAAGCTTTGGATATCTTCCGATCTGTTTGGCTGTTCTACCGATAAATATCTTGGAATATGGCTGAGGATACACATTGCACTTGTGTTCCTATACCGTAAGCCGATGTGAGTTCTCTGTATACTTTTTGCCTTCCGCCCTTTTTCCTTTTCTTTCTATTTTGTCTTACTCCGTCTTAAATAATTCATTGCTCTGCTCGTGTTTGGTGGTACGACCTCCTGTATAGGCAACAGAACGGGGCTGTGCACGAATGCCTAAGGTATGACTCCCGTGCTGCGCCTTACAGTCTGTACAGCATTTCCTTGGGTCCAAATACGACAGTACTACTAGGTAGTACTAGTAGTGCCCCCCCCTTTCCGTCTGTGCAAACTAACTCTAACAGTATATGTTCTCATAGCATGGATGTATCCCTTGCGCCCAATGGCGATGCTGGGTCTTCGTAGGGCAAAGTATGTAATTGTGGGGTCGGGGCAACCACTGCCCCATAGGGATGTTCCACTGGAATTGTGCCTTATGCTTCATCACAGAGTTGTTCTGCGGATTGAACCAGCTTTACTATGTGGAAACATCCCATCTTGCGTCTGTTTGTGTGACAGAGGAAACTGCCTTGTTTCCGCCTTAGGAACCTTCGGTTTTCCCCAAACTGGCGGGGAAGTCGCAGATTCAGCCTAACCCTTGTCGGGAGATTCCATTCACTGCCTGTTCCAGACCTGTGGAAAGATTAATCATGTCTTCACGAGATGGATACGAGACAGTTCTATAAAAACGGGGAGATGATTTTCTTGGATGTAATCACACCTGACAGGAATCTCCCATTTCTTACTATTCAATCATTGTTTTATAAATCAGTCCAGGTCTTTCCAGTTTGAGATGCGGTTCTAGGAACACAGGGCCACTACAGCAACAACTTATTACTACTACTTACCTCATCTACAAACGTCATCCATCACATATACACGGATCATACGAGCGTATTGTCAACGTCTTGTACCCATCCTTTCACCATCTGCTAGTATTAATTTCACCCAACCACCTGCCCCTAACCACTCCATCCTGGATTATGGGCAACCATCACTCACGAGTTCGAAGCCATTCCGAGTCTCGCAGACGGTCTAATACTGCGTCAAAGTGCGATCGACGTCGGCAGGTTGCAACCAGTATGCAAGCAAAAAGTGTGCCTGTTCAGGCAGGGAATGCCGATCCCTGGTCCCCTCCTCCATACACACCACAGCACCCTTCAAACGCTCCGGTATCCAGGGCTTCGTCATCCGGCGATTCACCTTACTCCTTCCTGCGCGAGTTTGATACAGTATTCCTGGTGGATGACAGCGGTAGCATGAGAGGGCGTCGCTGGCAGGAGGCTGCGGATGCTATTGCTGCCATCGCGCCAGTTTGTACCGCACATGACCAGGATGGTATTGATATCTACTTCTTAAACTATCAACACGGAGGAACTGATCCCAGAACTGGCGCATATACTAATATCAAGACGGCGGATAATGTCCGTGAGATTTTTTACGGCGTCGAGCCGCGAGGAGCAACTCCGGCTGGGAGCCGTTTGCGCCAAATCCTGGACCCATACCTTCGTCGCGTGGAGGCCATTGCAGCCCAAGGAAGAGACCCTAGCGAGTCTGTGAAACCGCTGAATATCATCACAATCACAGACGGGGTGTTCACGGACGACGCGGAAAGTGTTATCATCAACGCCGCCAAAAGGCTGGATAAATGCAATGCCACACCATGGCAGGTTGGCCTCCAGTTTTTCCAAGTTGGGGATGACAAGCACGCACAAGAATATCTGCAGATGCTGGATGATGACCTAGGCCACAAGTCAAAGAACGGGGACATGCGAGATATTGTGGACACAGTGCCATGGAGGGGTGACAAGGGTCAGACCTTGAGCGCGGACGGGATATTGAAATGCGTCCTCGGTGCTGTCAATCGCAAATATGACAAGTGCAACGCGTTCCGCTGACCTACCTTCTGTTTTCTGTTTCGCTTAAAGGCCCCAATATGTACAGGACCTTTCAGATATTGACGCCTATTATATTTCATTCATTATCGGTGGTTTTCAAACTCAACGGTCTGTTGCAGATAAAGGAAATGAGTTTCGAATATGTCGCAGCAAGCGCCGCCTAGCCGCCGACAATTCCGAGCTAGACATGGATTTGATTTGTTCATGAGCTGAACGCATTGGCCCTTCCCCCTTCGTTTTTCTCTTTGGCGTTCCTTTTATGCTTTTCTTATTCTCCATTTCTGCTCTATTTGAAGGACGCTGAGACAGATTGCAACGAATGTCTTTTTTGGCCTTCGGAGTGGTGATGATTTCATTGCAGGACAGTGAACGGCAATGGCTTATTGGTCAAAAATAAGATTGAAGGCCCTGATACTATTAATAAAAGATGCTACTATTGTCAAAAGTCCCCTTGTGTTTACTTTAGGTTGATCGTCGGTTGCCCAGCATCCAAGGATCGGCCGAGTAGCGCCCGGCTTCAAGAAGAGAAACTGCTGTAATGAATTCCCGACGATTTGATTGAACCAAGGCGACATTGATATTACCAATGGTCTTAGTCTTCCTGACTCGGCAACCGGACTAGGAAGTTTAGCCTGTCCTATCCTCAAGCTGAGGCCTGGTCCGTGAGGATGGATCTTCGGCCAAGTCCTAGTGCTATTAAGAACTCTCATTAGCTCAGGCGAGGAGCGAATCAATCGTGAAAAATAGTTTTGGTAGATTTCAGCAGGCTGCCACCTTGGTTGCTGAAGTACGTAAGGTTCACATTGGAGGTTTGTTTACATTTGGTGCTTCCCTAAACGCAGACGAGTATTTCCCTATTGGAAAAATGGGATCTGATCTGTCTTTGAAGTTGTCGTACGTTGTAACTCCTGGTAAGGCCAATACGGTACAGAATACCGTGCGTCGTGGCACCTGCTCCTCACGTGGCGGATGGAGTAGGGCGGATCGGCGAGAAAAAAATAAAGTAGTACTCAACCTGCTACCCTTCCGTTCCCTGGTTAGAGGTAGAAAAGGGAACTGACTGATGAACCTTCAATTTCCCCTCAAGATTTGTGACTGGACTGGCACTGCAGGTCTGGTGCTACGATGACTCGAGAGCAGGTCATTCTTCTCTAAGGAATAGTAAGAAGTAGTAGCTTTCGCTTATATTTCCTTGATCATCGATGAATCACTTGCAGATGGTTATTTCCTTCCCACGGTTCTCAGTGGCTCAGCATGGTGTACTCCGTACGGTATTGTCACCAGCCACGCCCCCTTTTTATTTTTCCGGATTTCCATGCAATCAGATTCGCCGGAGAGCGTCTCCATGGGAGCCAAAAGTGGTTCGCTTCTCTCACCATGATCCGCCACCGCATGGCTAGCTGCAAAGTTGTGATCCATCTTTTCCACCCGCCCCCCATTTGGCTCAGCACTAAGGGCAACTAAGGCCCAGTAGTCTTTGGTTCGCCAGGTACTCCGTCAAGGATACCGATTCAGCCATTTTCAGCTCCAGTCTTCGCTCCGTGAGTGGTCGATTGAGACTCTCGAGAACCATGTTCAGATCTCATCGCGTCTTCGCTCCGTTTTTATTTCTCCCCCCCTAGCCTCAAAGGCTACTCTTTTCCCTTCGTGACCCTTCGTGACCCTTCGTGATGTGGTTATTGCAAAAGCCGGTGGATCCCGTACGGTTCAGAGGATAAGCGCCGGTCGAGCTATGGGTTTTGTTGATCGATTTGATTACCTTTCCACAATGCCCATCGTCTGCGACTGATTTATATTCTTATTCACAGTGCGAGAGTCCGGACTCTCCACTCTTTTCTTCCAATGTTTTTTTTCTTTTGAATAGCCAGTTTCTCTCCACCGAGTGAACCATATCCACATTCCTTTAAGTTTTGGTCAAACCACAATATCTCCTGTAGCAAGCGCCGATATTCTTCTACCTTTCCTTCACGAATGTTCTCGACCCCGTCTATCCGCCTTGTCAGCGCTTAGAGCTCACGACCAGCCAGTGTCATTGGCTCCGAGTACTCTCTGTTTCGTGTCAGGGGGATCGAAATTTAACTATTGTCCCGTCGCGGCTACTGAATCAATTGATTCCCAAGCGGCCGACAGCTTGGTATCGAATATTTTTGGGTTGTAATGGCATGTTGATTAGCCTTGAGCTTATCCTCGCGGACTGATCTATATTAATCCAACGTTTGCGCGGACCTATTCAACTTCTACAACGCACCCCAAAACAACACCGGGTTACCCTCCTTTGTCCATATATCTCTCCGTCCAGGCTGGCCTTGGGGAAATTTTCCTGTCACTTTCTTTCTTTTTCCACAATTTAGACTATCCTGCTTCAATTTGCCTTGCTGCCATCCTTCGCCGCGCCATACCCATCTTTCCTAGGTCTCATCTCAGTTATACCACCATGGCTTCAACAACGTTAATGACATTTCTCCTGTGAGCCGCTTTCGTCGTTCTGAATCCATCACACACGCTAATGACCATATAGATATACTAATCCCCAGGTCAAGTCTGTCAAACTGCTAGGCTCATGGGACAACTTCACCAAGTCGTATCCTATGGAGCATGACAGGCGTGTTGGCCAGGGCCATTGGAGGGGATGCCATAGTTTTACCAGCATAATATGCGATGGAACGCCGAAGAATATGGGTTCATCGCGCTCTGGTGGGCTCAAAATGGGCGGCACATATTGGTATTATGTTAGTATCCTTACGTCTCTCTTGTTCGGCAGCTTTATCTAATCTTAAATTAGTACTTACTGGACGATGATGTGGAATACTACAATCATGCAGAGCCATTCACATCGCATTGTCCTCTTCTTCCAGGCCAGCCTGTCAATGTTCTCCATGTTCCTGTCATTTTGCCGGATACACGTCCGATTTATTTCTGTGATAGAAGCTCAAGCCCGCAACAAACAGAAGAGCGGACTATGAACCCTGATGATAAATATATGAACCCCAGAAACCCCCCCAAACCAGCACTTCCACGTCTCCGTACATCTCCTCCACTACTTCAACAACCGACTCCGGCTTGGTCTTTCAGCACCTCCCCTTTGGGTTTATTAACCAACAGGGGCGCTTCTCAACCTAATAGTGCGACGCCCAAGGTTACAATTCAGTATAGCCAAAGAGCACCAGACACCAAAACTGCTCGATCAGTCTCTCCTCCAAGATCAAGGGGCCTTCGAGCTGCCTTCCGACAATGGAATGCTTCCTCTCCTGATCTCAGCGTGGCAGATAATCAGAATAGTGATTCTACAAAGCCTAGACTGGCCTTCAAGCCTGTCATGGGGCGTACTGAAAGCCTCAGACCCCCTGAAAACACGTCGAAGGAGAGCCTACTCCCCCGGCGGCCTGCATCTCCCGTACATCCTGTGAATACGGTGCTGTCTATCCAGGATCGGCGTGCCCTAAATCCAAAAAACACGGACCGTGCGACTCCCAGAACTCCGTTAACACTTCAAACAAACCATGAGACGGATACCACTAGGAATGGTGACCTAGAGAGGGCCAATCCACATGCCCCTCAAGATTTTGTCGCTTCTGTGGACTCCACCTCCTTGCTCGCAACTGCCTTGCCAGTGACAGTTGAAGATGCTGTAACCCCTACGCCATTCACATCCTCAGAAAAGAGGCTCCCCACTCTACCGAATTCTCCTTCGTCAGTCATGGACGAGGCGCTGCGTGATCTCGAAGCTCGAGAAAAGGAGCTCGATGCGGAAAATCTTGGCAGTCATTTCTCTGACTTCAGCGCGACGGAGTCCACGAGTAGCTCTCCGTGCGAGAGGAGCCACTTTTCCGAATGGAGTACAGATACAGAGGTGGTCTCCGCTGAGTTCATGACACCTTCGCTTCCTTTCAACAATGGTACCCAAACTTTCTCTGCTCTTGAAGAGATGAGTTTTGCCGAACTGTGGAAGACCTCTGTTCCTGCTGAAACAAGTGATCCAAACACTCCAGAACTTACTGTTAATTCAAGATCTTCCCCCACTACACTCAGTGGTGACTCACCCCTCGTCGACCTGCCACTTCCTCGTCTTACAGTCTCTTTGTCCCCCTCCGATATAGATTTTTCTGGTCTTGGTATCGGTGATTCTGATGAGGTCGAAAGAGATCCCAAGCGCCATGCAGCATTCTTTGGGGGGATAGAAGGACTTGGGCTTCTCCGAAGCCCCGAACCTTCTACTGTGCAGTTTGCGGGAAAAATCCGAGATGATGCGGAAACGACACATAGCGTCAGTGATGACCGCTTCAGCATCAGCTCGCTGCCCGGACAGTCTGCAGCAATGCAAGAAATGATGGATGAGTTGAGTTATCTCAAATCGATGATTCAATCTTAGATGATGTGAGTATGTAATATACGGTTTAGCTACATATAGAGTGGAACTTTTAAATAATATAGACATACCGGACTTTCTGGCTTTTCTTTCCATGACCCATCTTTTGCTGACCGAATCGGTAGCATGTAAGAATATAGGTAGTGTAGAAGATATTGAAAGAGCTGAAAGTTTTTGCCTAGTTAGAATTGGAGTCCTAATTATACATTGTGTTCAGATGTTCTTGCTTTGATGGAAAGTAAGGGGAGTAGATCCTGGAGATATATTGAGAAGAGAGGTGTAAAATTTCGGAATGGAGCGGTATATAATTATGAGCCGTACAGTACACTTGAGACACAGAATCAACAACTAGTTCCTTATAGAAGCCAATATTATTACACTACTCAATTGTTCGAAGGGATTAACTGCCTTATCCCCTGAAATTCCAGGTAGGGTTTGAAGGGTTTTAGTCACTTGGGGGACGCGCGACAGACACCACGTGCCAAGAGGTCCGCTATTCTGCGACTCCACCGTCCATTAACCATTTGTCCATCTTGGGCAACGTCAGGCGCGGGACATACTAGAAGTAAGCGTCCACGTTGAAATTTCCCTGCAAAGAATGGACTAAAGGGAGTATTGCACAGTTATGACTGAAGTCAATTCTCACCCTCCATCGTTGCGGCATGAGCCGCAACTCACACCTGTTGCAGAAAAGTCACTACCTGCAAAATGCAAGGCCACAACGTTGAAATACTGTCCTACGATGGACCTTATCTCTCTCGTTACAGAGGATGATGAATTACGAGTTTTTCGACTGAATGGACAGAGAGTCTTTGGAGGTTCCTTCAAGGGAGATCCCTACTTGGACGAAGACGATGGCGGGGGTGAAATCCGAAAGTTGATGTGGAAAAACAATGGTGCGTCCTTGGCTTTCAGTTTCGAAATACTGTTGTTTCTTGCAAACATAGTTATTTGTATGGAAGATAGCCTTACCAGTTGCTAGGTCGCCTACTTGCTGTCGCTTGCGCGGACAATACTATCCGTATTATTAGTGCTTACAGTGGTAAAACCGTCCATCATTACCCTGCTTATGAAGCGCAGAGTGATGGCGACCGACCTGTCCGGGTTACTTGTTTGGGCTGGGGTGTAAACTTCACCGATAGCAATGTTGCACAACAGCAATTGAAAGAGGCTGCCGGCCAAATATCCGTCGAGGACCTGCTGTCGTCGGATGTACATCCATCAAAAGCAGCGGCCTTACTCAAAGTCGACTTACCAAGGGAGCTAGCTCTACTAGATATCGAGAGCTCACTACCTAAACTAAGCACACTGCCCGCGACAGGAAGCGAGTAGGTCCTCCGACCATCTAAATGGTGCAGCTACCTCCCACTAACCCAAACTCCAGTGACGACGTGTTTAGTTCTCGAGCATCGATTGATGCTATCTTCCATTCTGCCAGCAAGAACACCAGTGACGCAGTAGACGTCTTGCTGGTAGGCTTCGATGATGGCACCGTCCACTTGCGAATTTTTGATTGCTTCGAAATAGGCTCATTTCAAGTGGGGAATTCCGTTGGACCTTCCAGCTTATGTAGGATCCTTCAGCACGCTTCTCATCCATTGAGCTCCACCCATGCATTGCTGGCATCCTGCCATCCAGATGATAGTTCAGCCTCCTTGCACTTGCTCACTCTCGACCTTCGTTTTATTACGCGATCAGGCAGATATCTTTCACTACTTGCCCACAAGACTACCCAGCTCCAAAACCTACTAAGATACATCAACCAGGTACAAAGACAGGTTGAGCTCGAGTGGAAAAATGCACAAGAACTACCGGCAAGGTACATGCGCAGTATAAACGAGGATTTGCAGGAAAAGTGCCATTGTGATTTTGTTACGGCCGCCTACCACCTAGTGGTCACTGGAGACTGTTTTGAACCAATGAAAGAATTCCTGGTAGATATTGTCGGGGAAAGAGTAGGATGTCTCCTTTTGGAAGCAGCATTCATCAATCGCTGACGTGAGTTCTAGGGACACAAAAGGTGGGAGAAAGCTGCGTCGAGCGGATACGAAAATGTTCGACGTTTGACACATGAATGTCTTCTCCCGGCTCTGGAACGATGTGAAGTGCTACTTAGTCGCCTTATCGGACTCTCCAAATTCCATAAAATATGTGGCGTCCTAGGCCTGGAGACGTCAGATCTGAATGCGATTGTGGAGACTCTAGATTGCCTTCATCTCTTATCTCACCATATTCTCATCAATGCAAATGAAGAATTAAGCCAGTTCAGTTCATTTTCACAATGGCTTCGCCACGAAATCGAAATGCAGAGTGCAGAACCTATGTCCCAAACGCTGGAAGAGCTACAGGAAAAAACAGACATGGTTGAATATCCGCAGACTCTGAAGTATATCAAAGGCGCGTTAACTAAGAGCAAACTACGAAACTTCATCCAGCAATTGCCTCTGATAGGATTCGCCAGGCCTGCCCCCAGTACTTCGGACAAATGGGCACCCACCGAACACGATGGGTCATTTTATGACACGTTTAAGAAATTGCTGGAACAAAGCAACCAAACCTCCGACACTGATACTCCAGCCGAACTGCCGAAGATGAATGATCTAACGAAGCGTCTCGGACTACAGTTTGAAAAGGTCTTTGGGCAAATCGCCTTGACGCAGCGTAGAGGAATCCTCCATCGGTCTCCACTTGCCCTTCACCCAGATTGTGACAAAGATGTCGTTGATCTTGCCATGCGCTACGAGGTACCATACCCTTGATAGACGTACGCGAGAAATAGTGCTCATCATAATCCTAGGATGTCGGAGAACAAAGATTGTGTGTGATATATGTGGCTACCAGATCTATCCGGTCGAAACATATACGTACGTATACATTTGTCTATGTCTATGTGTTCTAACTTCTTACCCACGACATCCAGTGTATATATACCGCACGGTTCTGGACTGCGAAAATGGGGTCAGCTCCACACGAACGACAGGTATAGGTGCTATCAGTTTACAGGAGGGGGAAATACGTCAGATACAGTTTGCGGAGGATGATACTATGATGGTACTCTGGTCTAATAACGGTATATTACGCTTTGAGATATACTTTGTGAAGATTACATGTGTTAACGATTTGCAGAAGGATCCTCTTACCTCCTCAACTTCCCCTTTCAGCCGGCACCTACTAGCGAGACCCCAGGGGGTGTTGAAAGTCCTTGTTTTGTCAGCTTTAAGGAGTATGACAGTGACACGACATCATCTACGCCCGCTGCACCCACTGTGACACTTGATTTCTTGGCCCCTGAATCCGAATCTACGCAGTGGATTAAACATGCCTTTACCATACCTGGGCCCAAACTCAAACCCACGAGTATATACGTCAACGGCCGACACGACCGTCGAGCGATCTGTGTCTTGTATGGCGACGGTCTGCGTTATGAGGTATTGGATTTAGACGCGGAGATGGAAGATGAAGAGGAGGAAGATGAAGAAGAACCAGACGAGGACAGCGAATAGGGGCCGGGGATAATAACAATGCTTGGTCGCTATCTGGTTGTTCCTGATGGAAAGAAAGCAAGGCTAACAAGGTGAGGTTGACTCTCACCAGCAAATTAGCGTGTTGAGGAGCAACTCTAGGTTCCACCCATCGGCAGGGACAAAGCTGCTCCAGGTAGGGATGTGCCTCTGTACTGCGTTTGTTTATTGATATATTGGCTGTGACTGGCTGTCGGACTTTTGTTCAAGGATTACATTGAACCCCTGGCATCCGAGGTCTGAATGAGCTCTTCACAGACCATGGTTTTTTTCTTTCCTTTTCTTTTCTTTTTTTTTTCCGACTATACTCATGGTTGTTTCGAGAGATATATTTGATTTATTTATTTGATTTTTGGTTCCTGCGGGTATGGATAATAATAGATTTGTGCGATGGGGTTGACACCCTGATTATTATCAAAGAAGGGCGTGGTCGCCGGGGCCACACAAGTGGGTAGGGTGGAAGTGCTTCAAGAAGCAAAATCAAAACAAGCAAAAAACCCATGGAGGGGGAAAAATTTGGGGGAAGGAAAAGAAGGAACCAGAAGAAAAACAAGGGAGGGGCAATACCTCAGGCAACAATGGATGGTGACGAAAGTATGTGGTCGGCCTTCCAAAGTAAAAGAAAGGATATGCATCACCACCGCACCACAACCCTCCTCAAACCCCCTTACAGCTGCAAGAGGAGGGGAAGCCTGTAAGAAGATAAATATTGTAATAGACAGAATACGTAGTATGATACAAAGGTTAGTCGACGATTTCATGCTGATAGGGCTGTTTCTGTTGATTTTCATTCGGGGATTGACGGCCCCTTCAAGACTGGTGAAGAGTCACGTGATATGACTAAACCAGTGGCCGCGGGCCAATCATACGACGAGGTTTGGGGGCTCCGCCGAGCGCTGACTGGCTGTTTTCTGCCCATCGTCGCTCTCATTCCTCATTGCGGATCAAAAGTTGAAGGGACACACTATTATTCTCCCTCGCTCTCGCTTTCTCTCTCCCCTTCTCTTTCTCTCTTTTGATAAAAACGTTTTCTATCAGAACTTAAAAAAAGATTTTCGGGAACCAGATAATCACCACTCCCTCCTCCTGCCTCTCTGAAACATAGACCTTGGAGTGCGGTTTTTTTTTCTCTTACTCTCCTGGCTCTTCGGCGTGCACCACAAGCCGTCTTTTCCTCCCTCTTGTCCTACTTGCCGGAAAGAACTGGTGCATGCCTCGTCATATATCCACAAAAACAACAGGATCTCTTTCAGTCTCCTCGTCCACGCTGCCACTCCTTTGTCGTGGGCAATTTCATAATTAACTTTTTGTCTACCAAAATTTAATTAAGCCAGAGGCGCTTCATTTGTTTTATTTCTTGCATTTTCTTTTTTCTTTTCGTTCCCGTGGTCAGTGTCCCACTTCCGACAACATGAATGTCACCCAGGTATTGGAGGGCACTCTGTCGCCAGGTAAGACTATTTCTCTATCCCTCCTATTAGAACGCTGTTTGGAGCGATCAAGAACGCTACTGACGGGTGATTTTTGCTTGGATTGATAGATGCGACAACACGTACAAATGCGGAACAGCAGCTTGTCCACGCGGCGGAGGTCGATTTCGTATGTCTCCCGGGTGCCTCATTTGGGGTCGCTTCGAGCGATCGCTCGTTGACCGTTTTACATTATGCTAACCGTGGCGTTTTCTCCATGTAGGCCGGATACCTTGTTACCCTTGGTCAAGAACTGGCGAATGAAAACACCCCCTCCCACATCAGAACCGCTGCGGGTCTCGCACTGAAGAATGCTTTCACTTTCAGAGATCATGCTAAGCTACGCGAGGTGCAAGGAAAATGGCAGCAACAGATCAGCTCGGAGATTAAGACACAGGTCAAGGAGCTTGCGCTCAAGACTCTGGATTCTAAAGACGCCCGCGCCGGCCAGTCTGCAGCTCAGTTCATCGTCTCCATTGCTGCCATCGAGCTACCTCGAAATGAATGGCCCGAACTGATGAACGTTTTGGTTCAGAATGTTGCAACGGGCTCCAACCAGCTGAAGCAGGCCTCCCTCATCACAATCGGTTTCATCTGTGAATCCCAGGATGCTGATCTTCGGGAGAGCTTAACTGCTCACTCCAACGCAATCTTGACCGCTGTTGTACAGGGCGCCCGACGTGAAGAAACCAACATGGATATCCGCTATGCTGCTATCAAGGCTCTCAGTGACTCAGTAGACTTCGTTCGGTCGAACATGGACAATGAAGGTGAACGTAATTATATCATGCAAGTGGTTTGTGAGGCTACACAAGCCGATGATCTCCGTGTTCAGGCGGGCGCATTTGGTTGCTTGAACCGTATCATGGCTGCTTATTACGAGAAAATGCGCTTTTACATGGAGAAGGCTTTGTTTGGCCTCAGCATCATGGGTATGAAGAGCGAGGAGGAGGATGTTGCCAAGCTAGCTATTGAATTTTGGTGCTCCGTTTGCGAGGAGGAAATTGCCATTGAGGATGACAATGCTGCGGTTCGTCTAGTTTTCTACACACATCTGAAAGGGAAGGTTGCTAACAACTTGGAACAGGCGCAAGCGGAGGGTTCCGAGGTCCGTCCTTTCTTTGGCTTCGCCCGCGTGGCGTGCAGAGAGGTTGTCCCAGTTTTACTGCAGGCTATGTGCAGACAGGATGAGGATGCGACGGATGATGAGTACAATGTTTCTCGCGCGGCTTATCAGGCTTTGCAACTCTATGCTTCTTGTGTCCAGGGCGAGGTCATCCAGCCTGTTCTCTCCTTTGTCGAGGAAAACATTCGTAATGAAGACTGGCGTCGCAGAGACGCTGCAGTTGCGGCATTCGGCGCCATCATGGATGGACCGGATCCCAAGGTCCTTGAACCCCTGGTCAAGCAGGCCTTGGGTGTTCTTGTTGGTATGATGGAAGATAGTTCCATCCAAGTTCGTGATTCGGCAGCCTATGCCCTTGGTCGCGTGTGCGACTTCTGCTCTGAGACCCTGGACCCTGACGTGCATCTACAACCCCTTATTTCTTGCCTGTTCAACGGGCTTGCCAGCACCCCTAAGATTGCCAGCTCCTGCTGCTGGGCTCTGATGAACGTTGCCGATCGATTCGCCGGTGACGTCGGTGCGCAGACGAACCCCTTGTCAAAGCACTTTGAAGAAAGTGTTAAGTCGCTTCTTACTCTCACTGAAAGGTATGTCCGATTTAGCTCAGAGAGTGCTCTTCCTGGACCTAGCTTACTAACTGCTTTATAGGCAAGATGCAGACAACCAGCTCCGGACTGCTGGATATGAAGTCCTGAACTCCTTCGTTACCAATGCGGCGAATGACAGCCTCCCCATGGTCGCGAGTCTCTCCGACGTTGTGATTCAGCGTCTGGAACATACCATCCCCATGCAACAGCAAGTTGTTAGTGTGGAAGATCGGATCACCTTGGAAGAGGTGCAAACCAGCTTAATCAGCGTTATATTGGTGAGTTCTTCAACCCACGAGTGCTTTCGTGTGTGCTTTGACTGACAATTTAGGCTATTGTTCAACGTCTCGAAACTGAGATTAAGCCTCAAGCGGACCGTATCATGCACGCGATGATCCAGGTTCTAACGACTGTGCCCCCCAAGTCCAGTGTGCCTGATGTCGTTTTCGCCACAGTCGGTGCTATTGCAAGTGCACTGGAGGAGGACTTCGTCAAGTATATGGAACCCTTTTCGCCATTCCTTTATAACGCCCTCGGCAATCAAGAGGAACCGGGTCTCTGTGCTATGGCGATTGGACTGGTCAGCGATATCTCCCGTGCCTTGAATGAAAAGGTTCAGCCATTCTGTGACTCATTCATGAACTACTTGCTCAATAACTTGAGGGTAAGATATCTCTAGTCCTAATAGTAAATAACGAACTGTCCCTCACTAAATCCTTTTTGCAGAGCTCCACAAATCAACTGAAGCCTGCAATCCTCGAGACGTTCGGAGACATTGCTCAGGCCATCGGAACACACTTCGACACATACCTGTCTGTCGTTGCCCAGGTCCTCCAGCAGGCATCGATTGTAACCGCCAGCTCGGACGTTAATATCGAGATGCTCGATTACATCGTCTCGCTTCGTGAAGGAATTATGGATGCATGGGGTGGTATTGTTTTGTCTTATAAGGGCAAGCCTCAAGGTAAGCAAGTGTGTAATACAGTTTTTGTGCCGTGTGCTAAGCCCTCTGCAGTGACTCAGCTCCAGCCTTTTGTTGAATCTATCTTCCAGCTCCTCCACCTGATTTCCCAGGATCTCAACCGGAGTGAGGGGCTGATGAGGGCCTCAATGGGTGTTCTTGGGTACGTTTGCCATATTGAACCTTCTCACGCGTGTATCTATGTCTAACCATGAAACAGCGACATCGCGGAGGCGTTCCCGAATGGAGAGTTCGCGGCCTTCTTCCGTAACGCTTGGGTTACGGACTTGGTCAGAGACACCAGGAACACCAGAGACTTTGGCCCGACCACAATTGAGACTGCTCGCTGGGCTCGTGAACAAGTCAAGCGTCAGGTCGCCCTTTCTACTGCTGCAGCTATGGCGTAAGCATGGCCGCCAGCAGTCGCAAAGACATCAATTGCTCTTGTCGAGACCACCCTCCTCGGAGCAAGGCGCTCCTTTAGGCGCACTCAGAGAAGTTACGCCGTGGACCACTTGCTTCCATTCCATAAAGTGAATTCTGTTTCACGAGGGATGCTGAAACGCCGTGCCCTTGATCGAATTTTAACTTGCCAGACGAAGTATCCCTGTATCATGTGGTACGGTTGAACGAGCTGATACTGGCGATACCCCTTTGATCTAAGCACAACTACCTTGTCCGTTCTTCAATCTTCCCTATCCCATCGCCCCTTCCCATCTTCCCCAGCCCTTCAGCTCCCTGTTGGGCACTCCCTGTTTCCCACTTTTCGGAACCATTAGCCCCCTCATGACGCCCGAATGCATTCTGTTTCATCGTTGCTGGCATCCTTTTTTTTAATCACCTTCATCCTACTATTACTATCCATTTCCTCCCTTCCATTCTCCGTTCCAACTCGCTTCAATTAGACAAAGACCCTTATAGCATTATCTTGACCCTCATGTATGCCCAAGAAGTCATGTAACCCCTTAAGAGAAACACTGCAACGAATATTTCACACTTCCCTCCCGTATATTCTGATTTTATCCACCCAAAGATCCTGTATAGAGCCAATGATACAACCTGAATAAGTGTATATGTGCGAAATGCTCAGTAGCAGAACCTGATCTGGCTGTGGAGAGTGGGCGGTGGTATACTATGCCCCCTGATATTCGGGTAACGTATGCAATGTAATCCGTGGCGCTGATTTGTGTTTGCATGCCATGGCAGCAGGTAGAGGGGGAAGTAGAAGCTAGTCCTTACACTACTACCTGTCAAACCGTCACGGCCACAAGGTGATCGAATTGCAGTGAAGGATGGAACAGGTTCGTGCTACACTGAGGTATATAAATAACTTCCGATCCTTCCCTTGGCGACAGTGATCGGCTAGGGCCATGGGGATGGATATGTTTATATACATCTGTTCAATAGTAGGCGGACATATAAACAAGCCGATAGAAGTTGTTAATACTGGACTTTGGTGATATGATTTTGATACTCTGCAATTTGAATTTATAGTGCTCGAGCAGGAAGTAGATAGGATATGTGATGTAAGAGTTATATAGTGGTCAATCGCATTGGCATAGCACTACAGGATAATAGCTGGATGGATTTGATGTGACTTTACCTCACATCTACGGGACTGTTAACATATACTGTACAGACCTTGAATTCTTTCATCGGCGTGTTCCTGATGGATACAACGATGCTCCCGTGTCATGCCTGAGGCAGTTTGTTGCGGAGTACACGTGACCTGACAAGGGCAAGATTTACACAACCCTACCCGCGCACATCCCGAAAACCTCACGGTTCAGCTCCTAATAGAACTTTTCTTAACCACATCCCCGTTCTCACCAGCCTCATCGGTACTACCCTCGAGGTATGTATTACTCGTTATTGAACCCCTTCTCGCGGCCTCTCAGCTAGTCTGAGAGAGCAATCACTATGGAACTCTGGGCTTTTCAATCCTTGTGGAGTCGCGACCGCAAATTGAAAAGTTTTATCAGAGGGTCCAGGTGATACGCTTCTCTCATTTCACGGCACGGGCTGAAGAACCCTTGATGAAAAATTCTTAAAGGGGCACTCTTTACGCTCGAAGACTACTGGTGGCTGACATGATTCTCTTTTTGAAATCTAGATACCTCTTATCCCGTCTCTCGATTTGAGAATCTCGACAATCAACCGCCAAAATGGTCAAGACTTCCGTCCTCAACGATACGCTTAACGCTATCAACAACGCCGAGAAGGCTGGCAAGCGCCAGGTCCTCGTCCGTCCTTCCTCCAAGGTCATCGTCAAGTTCCTCAGCGTCATGCAGAAGCACGGTATGCACAACCATCTTTCCTACCATTGTCGCCTTGCGTTCAATTGTCCTTTGCTTTTATTCTGAGTATATTGGAACATGTATTTGTGTTTTTTGTTCTTCGGGTTGATAACTAGGCGGCGATCTCGAATTTTAAACGACGTCCGCCCTTTAAGTACCCGATATATTGAGAATTGTTTTTTTACAACGCGGAGATCTTACAAGTTTCCGGATTTTTTTCCCTGTGTTTGGTGAACTTTTAAATCTTCGTAACATTACTGACTCTATCTTTCTTAGGCTACATTGGCGAGTTCGAGGAGGTCGATGACCACCGTTCCGGCAAGATCGTTATCCAGCTCAACGGTCGCCTTAACAAGTGTGGTGTCATCAACCCCCGCTACCCCGTCCAGCTCCGTGACCTCGAGAAGTGGGCCACCCAGCTCCTTCCCTCTCGTCAGTTCGGTTACGTCGTCCTGACCACCTCCGCTGGTATCATGGACCACGAGGAGGCTCGCCGCAAGCACGTTGCTGGCAAGCTCCTCGGTTTCTTCTACTAGACGACCAACGAAAAGTTTATGTCTTGAATAGTATCGGGATTTATGTGGCCTGGTGAGGTCCGAGCGAGGAATGTGCTCAGGAGCAACAGTGTCTTGGCGAGGAGTTAAGGATACCCTGGCAGAAACGCCATAGATAGGTTTGAGTGATCTTGCTCAATTCAACCAAGTCATTTTGTTCTGGTCAAATTTATCATCTGTGTTTCGTGTAGTGATGTAGAGAAGTAGAATCAGCACAACCGATATCTTCCTTTCGCGCATGAGAAACCTAGCCTTCGTTTCAGTTTTTCCCAGCGCCTTAGCATCAGAGAACCAACTCGGCTACGTCTCCACCCTTAGAGAATTCGTCCTACAGTCGGTGCTCTTGTTGACACGCCGCTATTCCTTTTATGGGGTCAGACTAATTACTAGGTTTCGGAAGCCGGACGCAGATGTTATGAAAGGCGGAAGCCCGCAGTCCCCGAACCCGAGCAGTGATCCTGCTGATAGGGCACCTTGAAGCCTTAGAGGGGATTGCCAACATTCCGAAGCATCCGTTAGCGCGCTGCTATGGCATTTATGCTCAAATCATTTCGGCCTCCCGATGGCCGTGCGTGAAAGAACGAGGCGCAGGTTCTACGCTAAAAACGCTACAGATTACAATCCGCAAATGGTATCTTCAATAATGACGATGCCTTCCTCATAAGCTCGGAAGTAATCGAATCTCCGTTTCCAATGGATCAACGTGCCATGGTTCCGCTCTTGGTTTCATCTCTTCGAAGCCCCTGTCAGCCCTGTGAGAAAAAATCAAAAGCAAGGAGGAACGGAGAAACAAAGAACATAAAAGACGTGACTAAAAATCGCCAAAGAACCACTCCCTTTCTTTACCATCTGCAATGGGTTGAGTGTCGTTGACATCTATCAGAGTTCTCCCATCTAACTCTAGTGTCACCTTTACAATGTATTTCTCGCCCCTCAAGGCGCTTGTATGCCTGGCGTCTTTTGCTGTCGTGTCCACCTCTATGCCTCTACGCATAGAGCAGTCTCGTCATAATGCAGCATCGGATGCGTGGTCTAACCTTCCATTGAAGGCGTCAATCCCAGTTGAGCGCATACACTTTGAGTTCTCTCAGAATAAAGTATATCAGATGCATGAAAGTCTGAGATATACCCGAACTAGCGACCCCGACGGCTACGACAACGAGCAGCGGCATTGGATCGCACTTGCATCTGAAGGCTTGTCCGAGATTAATGGGCCATGTCTAGAGAATGAGGTCAACCGTCACCCTCAGTTCAATGCTTCCGTGACTGTGGACGGCCATACGTCCAATGTCCATTTCATGGCGTTGTTTTCGCAGCAACCGGATGCTATCCCCATCGTCTTCTTACATGGATGGCCTGGGAGTTTCCTTGACTTTACTGAGCTTCTCGATCTCGTGCGTCAGAAGTATTCTTCTGAGGATTGCCCGTTCCATCTCATTGTACCATCTCTGCCCGGGTATGCCTACTCTGCCGGCTCCCCCATGAGTAGACATGCGGATATGGTCGCCGTAGCTAGGACCATTGACGCGTTGCTCACCGACATTGGTCTGGATAATGGTTACATTGCCCAAGGTGGCGGTGTGGGGGCTTATGTTGCTAGGCTACTTGGGTCATCTAGCCCCAGTTGTGAAGGTACGCCACTTTCATTGTAATCTGCGCCGGCACTTGGAAATATTACTAACTGTAGTCCAGCTGTACATGGTAAAGCTCGCTCGTCCCTCTTGACAAGTTCTTGTTTATCGGCAGCAGAAAATAACTGTCTTTAGTCAATTCCCTCCCTCTTTTCTCCGGGTTACCCGACCCAAGTACCGATCCAGATCTTAGTGAGCAAGACCTGGAGATTCTTAGCCGAGCTTCACATTTCAAGTCTCTCCAAAAGACGGATGTCGCGGATCATGGAAAACAGGTCACCTTAGGAATCGTTCCGGAGAAGGACCCATTGTCATTGTTAGCCTGGTGAGAGACGGCTAGTCACCCAGTGTTTGCAACGCCGAAGTACTGATGAAGTGTTAGGCTTAGTGACAAGTTCAACAATTGGGTAGATCCCCAACACCCTTTACCCATGCAAACAACCTTAATACACTCTTCGGTCTACTACCTGACGGGGATGACGACAAGTGATTATTACCAACTATCCAGTCTAGATGCGCCTGACAACATGATACCGTTTGTTCCAAAGTCAATGGGCTACAGCCGTTTCCCGTTTGATATTAGCGGTCTCCCTAGGAAGTGGGCAGCGACGCTGGGTGATTTGGTATGGTACAATTCTCACGTTCAAGGTGGTCATTTTGCTGCCATGGAAAATCCAGAGGAGCTATGGAACGATGTCGAACATTTCGTTCGGACGGTTTTCCCAGATGACCTTCCCAGATGACGTTCTTTGAGACTCAGTGTAAAGCGCCATCTTCCATGATGGATAGTACCACGCTTTGGTTGTTTGCGGCACGATAGACACCGCTCACTACCATTCGCAATGGGTAGTACACATACCTGTGTTTCGTGACTGCGCATGGCATCGCCGATTGTTCTGAGAATGCAAACGTGGGGTCCTTGTGGGGGCTGTTGGGCATAGGCGTAGTCCTAGGGATCGGGGGCTCGGGATTGATGTTATTACCGGCCGGAGCTAACTGTTGATCCTATTCAGCCCAAATAATGTGGGAAGCAACTAACACTGGGCTGACGATAGCATTAATAATCTCGTGGGCACTTACAACTTGCGACTAGTCGCCTTTATAACGACGTCCACCCCACTCTTCGCCTCTCGCTGCCCGTCACACCGACACCTACCCAGCTATTGATCCGCGTAAATGTGACATAAGTGGAAAGTATGTCTTCATAACAGGTGCATCCAAAGGCATTGGGCGGGCGACTGTGTTATCCTACGCCAAAGCCGGCTGTGCTGGGATCGGAATGGGCGCTCGTACAGATCTCTCATCGCTTGTACCACTTCTCGCCCAGGCCGCAGAGGAAGCAGGCAAACCAGCTCCCCAAGTAGTGCCTGTTACACTAGATGTGACAGATGCACGGAGCGCACCAGCAGCGGCCGCCTCGATTGCCTCCTCGTTCCCCCGCCTGGACATTCTTAGTATCAACGCCGGGTACCTCGAAAGACGCGTCAGGATCGCCGAAAGTAATCCATCCGAATGGCAGAAAACATGGTCGGTCAATGTATTTGAGCCATACTTAGTTACCCGGGCATTTCTTCCGCTCATGCTGGGCAAAGGCAGAGACAAGACCATTATAAATTTGGGCAGCATTGCGACGCATTTGACCTTGCCTGGTGCTTCGGCCTACCAGACCAGCAAACTCGCCGTCCTTCGTTTTACGCAATTCTTGGATGTGGATCATGGACCGGACGGTATACTGACTTTTGCTGTGCATCCTGGTGGGGTACCAACGGACTTGGGAAAGAGGCTCCCTGAACAGCGGCACAAGGCATTGACAGAAACGCCAGAGCTGTGCGCAGATACGTTGGTATTCCTTACTGAGAAAAGACGGTAGTGGTTAGCTGCCAGGTATATCCCAGTAACTTGGGATGTGGAGGAGCTGTTGCAGAAGGAAGAGGAGATTGTGAGGGAGGGCAAGCTGAAGGTTAGGATGTGTATATGAAATGTTATCACGCGGCCATTCGCAAACATATAGAAGGTAGAGTATAGTGATAGCGCTTGTATCTCAGAATAACATCCAAAAATAAGGCCTAGTCCGAATTCAAGACCATTCATGGTCGAGCAAAACCAAAAAGACATATCGTTGAATACAGTTACTCCTGCTACACTCAACCTACCGTGGACGGCTAATCCGTGCATCTCATTGCGTTCAACAATTCCGTTTGATCATCATCTATCGAGCTGGCAAAAATAATATCGTGGCGGATGCCTTATCTCGCCTTCCTGCGGATGGCAATACTCCTTCTGATTACGATATTGACCTCGATAGTGCGTTCAATGTGTTTATTTGTCACGTATATCAATTCTGGTGTCAGCTTCTCAAAACCCGTCCTACTGTGCCCTCTGTCCCTGCTAGAAGTAGCTCTGCATGGCCCACAGTTTTTATTATAATTACAAGGCATACTACTTTTATATTAATCTCATACAAACCTGGAGGAATGATATATAGGGAAGCGCTATTACGAAATATGCGACTTGATATCTCTTATTTAATCGGCCGGGTCTCGCTGTATAACGGCCACGTCTGACCCGATACCTAGGTAAACGAGGGCTAACCATGGAGGAGCTGGTGCCATGCGAAGCGACTGTGTTTCCACTCCACTATACAGTCGTGTAAGGATATAGCGGAAATACTTGTGGTCCTCGCGATTCTTCTTCGCTATAAACGCCGTCCCATTTCTGCTGAAGCTGTTTCGGCATCGGCCATGCGTTCTCCGGATCCTTCAGCCATAGTCGCAAGAAATGTCGTCTGCCATTAATTTTTAGCGGAGCTATGGTTACGTTGTTTCAGACAGAGGGAACGTACTTCTGCTGAGGTCCATCGTTGTAGCCTCTTCGAGCATGTAGGATGCTTAAATTATTGAAGAACTGCATGTCTCCCTTCTGAAGCTTCATGGATATGTGGAACCTTTCAGCCAAGAAGTGGAGGGAATCAAGCGCCTCGGCCTGTCTCACAGAAAGCAGTCTCGTTCGCTTGAGGTCGCCATATCCCGCCAACCATCTTCTTGAAAAATTGATCAACAGTCTCTCCGGTGTTGTTCCCGATGAATTCTGGTGGAACATCAGAGGCCGGTGGATGAAAGCACCCTCCTGTTTAGAACTAGAGCAAGCATGTCAACCACCCTTACATTGCATAGAGAAACATCCAGCATGATTGTACGAACCTCGGGATTGGCCAGTCACTGGCCAGAACCTGGATTATATCAGGCCTAGTTCTAGCAAGCTCGTTATAAACTCTCCAACTACTTGCTAATAGGCTCTCCCCGCCTTCAGCTGATTCGCCTAGTGCGAAAAGAGACACTATGTCTCCAACATCTGTGTGGAATGGAATATCTTCGTTAGTATCACCTGCAACTCTGACGGTGAGTGTTGGGTCAGAAGGAGGCCTCATATCAGTGAGATGCGTAACAACAACGTCTGCAGGACACCCGTCATACTTGTAGCCCTGACGGCCACGGATACGGCCTATATGAGAAGAGACGCCAACATATATTATCATGTTCTCCTCCGCCGAATAGCGATCGACGGGAATGCCCCTAACCAGGGAGAATCCAGTGCCTGTGTGGATATTATCCGATACACCGCGCAGGATAGAATGTAGCGATGGCAAGGGGAAGGTAGCAGGGCTAAGAAGCTCCAGAGGCTTTCCTAGAGCTGTGTAGATGAAACTTCAGCCTCCTTTCCGATGCAACGAAAATATACTAGATCTGGGGCACAAGCCGCTTTACACTTGAAATTCTGCAGTGCATCGTCAATTTCCTTCAGCTGTGAATCGTCCAAGTTCAATATGTAGCCATCCTCGTAGGACTCAATACTGTCCCTGTCCCAAGCCATTTTCGAGGTTATGTTGACTGGGAATCCCTCTGGCAGAACAGCTTCTTCGATTTCATGCCGCGGAACCGATCGTGCTCGGGCTTCGTATTCCGCGCGGTTCGGAACATAGGGCAAACTGTCAACATACTGATCCATTTTGTACGTTTGTGTCCAACAGAGGAGAAGAAATAGATGCTGCTTTTTTTTTTGTTTCAAACAGGAGGGCAAAAATAGACGGATACCCAGCTTACATGTGGGCTCCCTGGCGCAATATAAGCTGTAATGCTCGATGGTAGGCCCTAAGGTGCGAATAGATCGAGCTGATCCCTGTGGGTCTACTTGTCTATCATTTCCTTCTACAAAGTTTTGCCAGCCGTATAGAAAAATATTATAGGACCGTATAAATGTTTTCCGAACCGAACTAGCCGATAGACCGATTATTGACCCCGTAGACTAATATACTTGGTAGAAAATATGGAGATTTACTAGTTCTTGACTCAAATATGTTGTGTTTGGTAAACTTGGTAATACGTTACACATTTAATACATACCACGTCACCTGACAACAAGGGTCTTTGTTCCCTGCAGTCGTGGACCTCACAAGTTGAAAAAGTACTAAATAGCAAGAGACCTTGCAACTTTATGTCTGGAGCAGCCCAGAATAATGAGTGCCAACACAGGGCTTGGCCTGACGCGCCGTGATAAACAATGTTCCTATTGCGCCCGTGCATTCGCCCGATCGGAGCACCTCTCGAGGCACGAGCGCTCACGTATGCAGACCCACTATGGCAGGAGCAACCAAATTAACCAGACCTCTAGATCGCAATGAGCGCCCGTTTAGATGTACTCTTTGTCATGCAACCTTTACTCGACAGGATGTTTTCAGAAGGCACCATGGAAGGTATCACACGGGACCCTTCCCGCAACATCATAGCCAAGGAAACTACATTGAAAACCAGTCGATATCTATGCATCCTAGGTCCACACGAATGCCTAGCCCCTTAACCTCATCGGCCATGACGCCGAATGATACGGAGGGCTTGACCGCTATGACGCATCCTCCGGCCGTCGACCCCGTATCCTTGGTGTATACTTCCACCATGAACTCTTCGACCTCAGCGCTCAACTTTCCAAAGGATCCCGAATCTTCCATGCCGAGCAATTCGGAAGAGAGCTCACAGGAAGGTTCACCTGCCCGTGTGGCATTGAGGTGCTTTAAACCTCCCTTAGATAACCATACCAACACAGCATCCTCATCGCAGGTGGTGGAGTCCCCAGCGTGGAAAGGTTCGTTCGCCATATCAGAACAACAATGGCATCAGCTAGCTTCAGAGCAACAATGGCATCATCTTGCTTCCACACTCAATATTGTTAGACCGGTAAGCTTTGAGATGATGCCTGGGACAACGCCATGCCCCATCCTCACTCAGTACCTGACTATTCACGGACTAGGTCCAAAGTTTGAGTGATCTTAAACTTCCGAGTCGCTTGACCTTGGAGAGATTACTCAGAGCATTCGCTGAGTGCTTTCTCATTTACATCCCATGTATTCATATGCCGACCTGGAAAGCAGAGCTGGCTCCTCCTTGCATGATCTTTGCGATGGCATCTATTGGTGCCAGTTACTATGACGACGAGGCAACTGCGACTTCACTTCATTGCATGGCCCAGATGTGTATAAAAAATTATGTGAGCGAAGTACAACAACGCTTTCGGCATGTTCTCTAATTTGCAGAAGATTGAATTGAGCCCACTCACTATCGCAGACGAGCCGCTATGGGTACTGCAGTGCCTGCTATTGATCATGGCAAATGGTACCAAAAATAGCGATTTTCGTACTTTTCAAGAATCTGCATCGTTAGCATCTCTTTTGATCGAGGTGTGTCTAAGCAACTCAGAGGATTCACCGTTTGGACACAGCATATGTGCAGCCTTCTGGTCTACCCCACTCTGGAAGCCTTACATTCTGGTATGTACTCAAAATGAGGCCACTGATATATGGTTTACTTCACAGGGCATTCAGTATAGAAAGATCTCTCCGTACGTGCCAGAATCAGTCGGTGGAAATGATAATATTCTAGAGCAATGGCAGAAGTGGATTGACTCCGAGATGACTATACGGTGCGTGGAGGTATCCTATCTTAGAAATTTGAAGTGCGTCTAACCCGACTTGAAAGCACCATTTGCGCAGTATACGTCTATCTGTGTGCCCTAGGAGCCACGTTTCACACTGCAAGCTACTCCTGGAGCCTGGATATTGGTGATTGTTTTCTGCCTTGCGATGAATCTGAATGGACAAGTATATCCCCACAAGCGTGGTTGGAAAAGCGAAAGTCCAACCCCAAACCCCCTATTCAATTCTCAACTGCTCTGGCCAATATCATGTCTGCCCAAAGTGCACCACCACTTCGACTGAGCCTTTTCGGGTCCTACCTGACATTGCACGGTATTGTGAAACACCTGGCGAATCTCTACCAGGACAACTGGCTTATAGATTCATTACCCACGCACGTACAACGGATTGAAGAATCGTTGGCTAGGTGGCGGATGCTGTCCGAGCAGAACCCCGAGTTTCATTGTTCATCGAGGTACCCTAGCGGAGTGATTGCCGCAAATGCCCTTTCGTTGTATCGTCAGGCTCATGTTCGACTGTGTGGAAACTTTAGCCCTCTCCGAGCGGCCTTGACGACGAGAAATTTGCTGAATATCACTTCCAAGTTAAATGACATCAAAGTCAACATATCAAGCTCAAGGACATGCGTGAAAGCCGCTTGGTGTGCTATTGAAGCACTCCAGATTTCAGTAGTAATGGGAATGGCTCAAGCAAGATCCATTTCTGGATGGCACTCTAAATTATTATTCAACACCTATTCATTGGAATGCTGTGAGTAATTTCATTTCTTCCACCTCCCTTTTCCTTGCCACTCACTCCTGCCCTGCGCTGGTAATATCGAGAATTAACCGAAATTATTCCAAAGGTCTTTTTCTAAGCTTTTGGACGAGGGCGCAGTTGGGACGCAATAGACCAGATCGATCTCCAGAGGAAAATGACATTTTAAAAGCAACAAAAGAGACGCTAGCGGAAATAGACCTAGAGCCAGCTATTGCGTCAAAGCCTTATTCGGTACAATTGGTCTATGCCTGGTCCTCGATCTTCAAGAACAGCGCTACAATTGGATTGTATGGCATTATGGCGGAGGCATTGAAAGCTTACGCGGATAACCTAACACAATAACCTTAGAGGTCAATTTTCTTTTCAAGTTCTGGGTTTGTATAGACTTAGAGACTGTGAACCTTCCTCATGTTTAAGATGTAACTTTGTTTTGTAACATACTAACAGTTCGTCCCATCTAGTACCTTAGTTCTGAACCCACTCTATTCCTATAGCAGAGAAACTTATCACCCGAAGACTTTTCTACTTTTCAAAACAGTATGCAACATGTTTTCAATATTGCATAGATTCTCACGTCAGAGTTAAGCCTCTCTACAACAATATTAGACACAAGCCTCCTTCCCACTTGTCGGACTTTATTTTACCTCCGCATTACCCCACCAGCATGATGCGAATCCATTACCTGACAGTTCAGCAATTAGGGCTCCAGCGGGTAAGTCGGGAAACGGCACGGACCCGCCCAGCAGCTTATTGCTCGGCCGTACGTACTACGGTAGCGTATCCAAGGGCTTCTTGAGCCCTAAACCAAATCCCCCGAGATAGTATTCTATCTTGGGAAAGTAAATTATGTTGTCTTATTCGGTCGTGCAACGGGAATCGCATACCAATCTTCGGAAGTATTATGATATTTATTGAGATTTCTTACAACATTCTATTCGCGACAACATGAACGTAGCTTGAATCGAAGTAGTCCACTATGTTACACCGATACATGACCATTTTTCAACCATACCCGAGGATGGTACTAGTAAGAGTACTGTAGGCACCAAGGAATAAGATTTCGGATTGAAACACCAAACTGTGGATCTAAGCAGCAGCCATGGCATTTTTCACGGCTTCCCCCGCAATCCGTGCTCGCCGAGCGAAAAAGGCCAAGAGGAAAGCCACACCCATCGAAGCACATGCAAATGCAAATGTGACTTTGATTCCGTCCATGTAAGCGAGGCGGATTCCATCTAGACTGGAACCGAATGATTTTAGCTCTGTGGCTCCCGCAGCAACTACAGCGGAAGGATCAACATCTGGTGCTGTTTGGGGGAGTTCAATGAGGAGGCGATTTGCGAATGCGGCTTGGGCACCGGATTGCATAAAGGCACCACCGACGGTTTGGAAGCCTGTACAGATGGCATAGTTAGATGTTGAGCACTACACGGGAATGAGCAAAAATTGACTCACACATTAGAATAGCAGTTGTCGCTGCCATGTCTTGTGGCTCGGTATTTCCCTGTGCCATGATCATCGGAACCTGGACTCCAAATCCATTGCCGACGCCGGCTAGGATTTGATAGCCAATCCATTTCCCTGTACTGGTACCGATATTGAATGTATATAAAAGGCCACATCCGATTGTGCCGACTGCGGCCCCAGATATAACAAACGGTGCGGGATAGCCAGTCATGGAAATCAAAATGCCACTGAGAACCGTGAAAATGGACACCGCGAGGATAAAAGGCAGGTTGTGAACACCCGAGCCGATGGCGGAAGTGCCATCAATACTCTGGAAGTAGATGGGCATATAATAAATCACCACAATGTATGAACCGAAGAAGAAGAAGCCCACTGCCGAGGGAATCGCATGCTGTTTGACCAAGCGAGGGCAGGACATGGCCATCTCGCCCATGTATATTTCCCAGCCACAGAGAACGGCTAGGGTCGCCACGAAGCCGACAATTAAGCCAATGACAACCGAACTTTTCCAGGGATGGGTCAATCCGCCATATTGCATTGCGAGGATATAGCAGGTCACGGAAGCCATCATCAATAAGGTCCCAATGGGGTCCATCTGCATCACTTTCGACCACACCGGTGAGGGATCCGTAGACTTCGAGGCTGGCGGGCTTTGGAAAAAGACGATAATGAAGATCGCTGAGACCGCGCCTACTGGTAGATTGATATAGAAGCACCATCTCCAGGTGACTTTTTCTGTGAAAACCCCGCCAAGAAGGGGTCCCACGACCGATGCGATTCCTATTGACTAAATTAGTTCGGTCAGCAAATCTGTGAGAGTAGTATTCTCAAGCTCACCATAGGAAAGACCGATCAATCCGGTGAATATAGGTCTTTTTTGGGGTGGTGCGCAAAAGGCAGCCAGGGTGAAGGATCCTGTATTCACGCCTGCAGCACCCAAACCAGCGATCGCACGGCCGACAATCAGAGCTACCGAGGAAGGGGCGACTCCACAGATCAAACTCCCCACTTCAAAGATTAAAATGGCCAGCAGGAATGTGATCTTCAAGCTAAAAAAGAGATACGCCTTGCCCCCTTTTCGTTGTTGTTAGTAGGAACAAGACAGTGGAAGGGGGATATCAAGCTTACAAGCTGTTTGAAAGCCAGCAGTCACCAGGAAGAAGGCCGACCCGTACCAAGCCACGTCTCCAAGACTATGAAAGTCATCGGTAATACGTGGAATAGCCGTGGCAATAATGGTCTAAGGAAAAAAGACCCATGTCAGCCGTTCTCAATCCTGTCAGATTCTCCCAAAGAAAGCGTCGAACTCACAAAGTCCAAGGAAGTTAAGAAAATTGCCAAGACCAAGGCAACAACAATGAAAAGCAATCGTAAGCCGGTCGGATATTCACCCTCATCGCTAGGGGACGTCGAGGATTGCTGGTTGATGTTTGTATCCTGCAGTCCTCGGGATTTCTTTTCATGAAGCGAGTACTGCTCTGGAGTATGATCAGCACATGCGTCGGCTGGCATCTTGAATCCTAATGGTGTGGAGACAAATCCGACGCTGAGAGGGTTATATATATCAAGGAGATTAGGGCTTAATGCACTATACGGAGTAGGTTGAAAGTCTTGAGATAGGAAAGAGTACTATATAAGCACCCCTGTGTAGCTATACATACAATAACATAACAGCCTCAGTTGAGATCCAATACATGTCCAACAACTGGATAGATTCGGGAAAAGAAGGCACTGTAATATGACTCTAGATTTCTCCATGCAATTCATTTTGTCACTGATACCCTTGCTAGGTTGTCGGAGTTAGGGGATGGGGATAAGAGAGACAGAGAGACAGAGACAAAAGAGCTTGCATGCTGAACCCTGCAGAGGATAAGCTTATCGCGGACCCCGCCGACCCCACCGGTGGGGTCAGGAGGATCCGCTTAACGCCGTGCAATGTCCGGTCGATGTTGGCTGCTGGACCCTTGGCTATAAGGTTATTGTTTAGCGGCGACTCTTAATCTACTATACCAGGTATACCTGTCGTAGCGTAATCTTGAGGATCTCAAGTCTCATGTCTGGAATTTCTCAGTGTAAGCGAAGCGAGGGGTTTTAAGTTTTTACCACTGTACCAGGAAGATAGTATTTCTACTTAGCCCTTAGATTGTGGTTTTTTCCCTTGTAGAAGAGCTGCTCGGAAAATACTAGCCATTAATATCGCTAGACCGGTTTGAAACTTTCCTTTTCCCGACGGGAATCCTTGGCTCCTATTGGGTAAGAGCCACGTGATATACTCTAGTTGTTATTGGATCTCCCTATTTAGTCTCGACTTGCCAAACACAGTCCCTTCTATCATCAACTGCTTCTTCTCGCGGAATGGGTGACACTGGTGCCAGTAGTGTGCTCGTACAGGATTCATCCAATGTGATGAAAAGCAGTCCCGGTGGTAATCGTGGGTTAGAATCGAGCAAATGCAGACGAAACCGGACTTTGGATTGGCGAAATGGAGTCGCGGGAGGTGTTGCAGGCTGCGCAGTGAGTCTTCTGTTCTCACTAGCCACAGTCTGTTACTGAAGCAAGATATGTCTAGGCCAAGACCATTGTTGCTCCAATGGAGCGAATCAAGATTCTATTTCAAACGTCGAATCCGCATTTCCTGCGGTATTCAACCCGGTGGAATGGTTTAATCGAGGCTGTCAGTCACATTCGGACATCGCATGGGATATATGCGCTCTTTAAAGGTCACGCGGCCAGCCTGATCCGCGTTTTCCCGTACGCTGGTATCAACTTTCTCGCGTACGAACAACTCCAATGTGCAATCATCGTATCACCCCAGACCGACACCCCATATCATCGATTCTTTTGCGGGAGTACGGCGGGTGCTATTGCTACCGTCTTCACATATCCTCTTGAGTTGATCCGCATCCGTCTTGCTTTTGAAACAGAACAGAGCAAAAATTCCTCTTGGTTCAGGATCTGTCGAAAGATTTACTTTGAAAGCGGCGGTAAAGGTAGCCCATTAAATCTTTATCAAGGAATTGGCCCGACTATGCTAGGCATACTTCCCTATGCGGGCACATCATTCGTAACCCATGATTTAATGAGGGAACAGCTGCGCTCACCTTTCTTTGCACCTTATACTCTTGAAAAGGGATCATCAACTCGACTGACCGCAGTTGCGCAGCTTTGTTGCGGAGCAATCGCTGGCATTGTTGCTCAAACGGTTGCGTATCCAATCGATATCCTTCGGCGACGAATGCAAGTCGGAAGAGTGGTTGGTAGCAGATCAGGAGTTTTAGAGACAGCTCGTCGCGTAGTTCTAGAGAGAGGAGTCAGGGGTTTCTATGTTGGCCTGACAATTGGCTACGTGAAAATGGCTCCCATGGCGGCGACGAGTTTCTATGTCTATGATCGAATGAAGCGATTGTTGGGCATTATCGAATAAAGATACTATTGCTTTTGCTTGGCTATTTGTTCACAGCCTGAACCCAATATCTGGGCTTTCCTTGGGCTCCTTAGCCCATTTCTCGTCCTCAAAGCCCATTGCACAGTATGTTTCTTGGTGTATATGCGCACTCAGTAAGAACTGAATTGGCCGCAGGATCAAACTCTTCGCATGCGTAGGCCTGGGGGTCATGGTTGAGCAACTAGTTCGGTCGAGGTTGAGCAAGAAGCTGTGGGTCTTTTTTCACTGCATCCCAATCTGTTTTTGACCCACATATCTCGAGTTTCTAGACCCCGTCAACTGCCCGATCTTGCACCGCTCGTATCTAAAGTCTCATGTTTAGCGGTTACAGTGCATGGGCGTGTTGATGTGGCTTACCTCATTTTCTCCATAGTACGCAAAGCGAGTGGCACCTGTGATTTACCAGCGAGCTCCAACACGATTGCTATCGTGGAAGCATCTTCAACAGCTTGAATTACTCCCTGGGCAGATGTTGGGACATATGAATGCGCGCCATCTACTCTCAGAATTACACGGCCCTTGGAAGAGACCCAGGTTAGAAGACTTCCACCACTAACTTCAAGAAGGATTCAATGCGGACAAAAGCTCACCTCAATTGGGAAATGTTCTTCTGCTACCTATTGTGGTGTGATTGGCTGGATTGGGCATTGGCGTTTTGTTGGAGGAAGGGATCCAGGATGTGATGATTCACTCCAGGAGTTTATTTCTCATCTCCAAGTAGGCGAAATGTGTGATTCCGAGGCCATTGGCCTATATGCAGGACAGTTGCCAGCAGTCGCACTCGCTCCGAGTTTGAACGTTATGGCTCCGTTTCAATTCACTTAGCAATGATGATCGAAGCAGCTATGGGTGCGTTGGACGCACGCCACGGGAAGGCAAAATCGTATGTGGCAGCGTGGCGGAATTCCGAGCAATGTGAGCAGATGAAACGGGCCATCAGCCTATTATACCTGCAAACATACATTTCTGTTTGGCTTGATGAAAGACGAGTGACCATCACCATAACTGCCCAATGGGCTCGGTCCAGTCTTCTACGTCAATTTCAATGGGGGAGCCTGACCGTCGCGGAGTCGAACATCCAACAGCCCATTTACTCTACCCGCAGTGAGAACAGAGACATCGAGTTAAGGAAATATCTACTAATTGGTGGGGAAAACCGGTCAAATAGGTAAGGGTACAAGGGCAAAAGTAAACAGTAGATAATCATAAAACGGAAGACTGATTCTTGACTTCTTTTGCTAGCCATATCATACTATTTTATAACTTTGGGAAGCCCTTGGATACAGACTAAGCCAGTATATCTTAGGGGCTAGTATTCATCATTAAAAAGGTGACAGCTCCGGAGTCCATCAGTGGCATTCGGCTGCCGAGATGTCAATGCACAAGACGCAAGGTATACTGCACAGCCATCCTGCAGAGTCAACATCGGATCTGTGACAGTTCATGCTGAGGGCCTGGGTTGTTAGGGCTGGGTTGTTGATTCTATTCCCTATTCGTGCTAGCGTCATTTGCTCAATCTAAGCCGAGGTATTTTGCCTCCGCATTCTCTGCCTCTTATCTCTTCCCCGCAACCCTCATTTGCTTGTACATACATTTCTACCATATACTAGTTTCATTGAAGAAGTTTCTCCAAAGATATTGCACCTGCAGCATTGATCGTACACCATTTCACAATGCCCCTAGACACCATATATCTCACCCGACATGGCGTAGGTATTCCTCCATCTCTACCCCTCCACCAAACAACACAAAGAACTAAGCAAGACCAAACAACAGCATCGTCTAAATTGGACAATCGACTATAAGACAGGCGAATACAAGTCTCAATTTCCAACACCTACCGGCAATCCCGCAGACCCAACCCTAACCTCACACGGTGTGCGCCAATCGCTCGAGCTGGCAGAGCACCTAGTCAGCCCCGAGTTCTCACCGAAACCCTTCCGGATATATTCGAGCCCATTCTACCGGTGTCTGCAGACGATTCAACCATCTGTCGAGGCCCTGAAAGAGAGACATAATTCCGCACCCTCTAGCGAAACAGGTATAGACCGGAATGCGGACCTGGATGTGAGGATCGAAAACGGAGTCGGGTAATTGATCTTAACTGCTGTTAGCCTCAACTGCTGGTCAAAACTAATGTATGTTGATAGAGAGTGGTTCGGTCCAACCTCTTTCTTTGACCACCCTTCCGCTCCATCTCCTGCTACTCTCAAGACCCATTTCCCAACACTCCTTGCCTCGAACCCGGAAGCCAACTACAACCCGCATCTCGCGCCCTCTACCCGCGGTGAAACGATCGCCCAGCTTCACGACAGGGTAGCTACGGCACTAGCGGGGATCATTGCGGATGTTGATGCTGAAATCAATGCCTTGGAAGCATCCCAGCCGCCGTCCGAACGCACCAGTAAGGCGATTCTGATTTGTGCGCATGCGGCTCCGTTGATTGCTATGGGACGGGTTTTGACAGGAAACATGCCGGAGGACGCTGACGAAGAGGACTTTAATGTGTTTACAGCGGGTCTAAGTACGTTTGTTCGGAGGGGGATGACGCCCAGCGCTGGCGATAGCAGCGCAGAACAGCGGGAGCTGGCGTTAGGAACGAGAGTTATTCGACCTGGGACGGTTGTGCCCGTTTGGCGAGGGGGGAAGGGAGTCAGTGGGGGATGGGACTGTGTTCTAAATGGGGACTGTAGCTTTTTGAGCGCAGGCGCTGAGAGGGGGTGGTAAGTTGATCCACTGTCTTGTTTCCTCAGGGGTTCGATTGGTCATACTAACACTATTTCCCATTCCAGGCACTTCAACGGGGAAGAGTCATTTGATACCGGTCCCATGGCTCCTTCTTCAGCTTTGCCTACGTCGAGTCAAGATACGTCCGCAGAGAGGACAGGCACGAAACTGTGATCCCGACCTTAATCGATGATTAGTGGCCTTCCCGTGCATGTTGTAGGCCCAGTTAAAGGGGACTAATGAATACACATAATAGACAATATACCAGAACATAGATTCTCGAGCGTGTCTAATTGCAAGAAGGTTCATATCACCATGTTTTAAATCCGTCCGTAAGGATCTACGCTAATTCCAACGCTACTTTGACGCCAGCTATGTACAACACTAACGCAACAGATAATGGGAATGGGTAGATGAAGCGATGGGAGTGATCACCTTGCATCTTGCTCATCTCCACGGGGTATTGAGGTATGATGTCCGTCTTCAGTGGCGGGGTTGGTTACAGACGACTCTGGGCGGGAAGTTGGGTTTTCTTCATGATCCTGCTGCTCCTGCTCAGTCACCCCTTCGCCGTTGCTAGCCTCCTCCTGTCTACGGCGTCCCTCTTCTTCTTCTTCTCGTGCGCGCTCCGCAGTTCGAGCGGCCTCGGCTGCATTGCGCACCTCGACATGCCTCTCCCCAACTCCCGGTACCAGACTAGCGATAAATAGTGCCAAAGATCGCTCTACTCTTCGAAGGCTATGGCGCGTTCCCGCTGGGGTGGCAGCTCGGTTATCTCCGGGCTGATGTGCATTTCCCGAGCTACCCGTGGTATCTGTGCCCTGAGGACGCGGCGGTACGTGTTCGTCGGTGGTAAAATGTATCAGTCCTTCAAGGTGTCGTTGAATTGGAGACACAATCAGCCCGTATAATTGGCGCGGGACACTGGTTTCCGACAGGAGAGATACAATGACAGCCAAGGTCACCAACAGGACCCGCGACCAAGTGCCGGGTTCGCTGAACATATAGCAAAAGAAGTACAGCCGAACAAACAACCAAATGCGTCGTATGCTCCGAGCGAACCCTCCTGCCTCGTTATTGCCCAGTCTTTGATTAAGGACTGCTTGACGGACGGCATTCTCCATGATGGCAGCGTTCGGATTGGGATGCGCCTGAGGTGGATGGCCTGTGGCGTGGGTAGATATTGCCTGTGACGCATGCGTCGAGCGAAATGCGCTTAGCGACGATTCGATTGACCTCACCGCGCCAGGAGAGGTAACCAGAGCCTGGTATCCACTTGGCGATGAAAGAAGATATAGGGAGGCCTGTTCATGACCATTACTCCCAGGGCTATCGGGTGTATTGTGCTGCATGGATGCAGTAGCCCTAGACTGGCTTACGCGGAGCTGATCTGCGCGAGTGTAGATGTTGAAGACCCGAGTGAGCAAGGCTTCTATAGAGCCGTCGCGTTCAGACAAAGGATTTCTATACTGATCATCGAGAATATCGAACAATTGTGACCGAATGCGAATCACTTGGTCCATAGGGGGCGCGATGCCTCGATTGAGTTGGTCTTCGCATAACGCAATTTGCGGCCGTAGTATGTGCAGACGGAGTCTAGTATCCTGAGATAAACTAGCATTGAGGTCTGACGGATGCGATGACATTGTTGATGTTGACGTTGACGTAGTCGTTGAAGATTGTAATGGCGTCATACGCTGCCAGGGAAATTGTTGGGTATGTTCGGTTCCTTGCTGATCTGATAAGGGCGAGCCCCCTCGCTCCCGCAGTTCGATTTGGCGGCGGATGGTTTCAATATTACGTCGCAGAGCTAGCCCAATATCTGCTTCACTAGGACCCATTGATCCTCGGTACCTCACCTCTTGCCCATGTTGCGTTGGGTATGGCGGAGCAGATCGGCTGGGTGCAAAAAGATGATCTGGTGAAGGCATGCCGGCGGGTGCTTGGTACTGTGGTGATGGCGAAGGTCCGGGGGAAGTCGCCACATAAGGTGGTAGAGGAGCTGGTGGAAGAACAAGATGCATGGAATATTCAGCGCCCTAATAGACATGTCTAGTTAAACAACTACCCGCGGACACGCCAACCAAAACAAAGGTCATTGCGATACTCACATCTGCAGGCTCTAACACCTTTTGCAAAGTCCAATCATCATTTGAGATGGGTTTTCCACGATATATTAGTCTTTGAGTCTCCGGAGATGGCCTATTGGGGATCGATTGGGATATTCGCGCCTTGAGGCCAGCGATAGTGAT